AAATGATTGGCTGTGTAGCAAATGATTGAATGACTGAACTGTAGCTTTCAGAGTGTAACTCTGTATGACGGCTCAAATGTCTGAAGTGAAGGGAAGTGTCGTTTACTGTAAGATCCTGATCGATCCTGGCTCCATGTCGGGAAAAAAATTGTAATTATAAGTAAGGAATGAAATTACCTCTGTTTTTGGTAATTTGCATAAATGCGCACAACTTTCCCATTTTTGGAAATGCTTGTGTGGATCATGTTGTTGTTTCATGCTGCTGGTATGTAATAAACTAAGAGGAAAGACTCCTACAAACAGCTTGAAGCAACAAACTAAACTTTATCACCTGTTATTGTTGTGTCACAACCTGAGGGCTGTACTTTTTGCCATCATAATTTTTTATATTCCTCATTGTTCACCATCGTAACAATCTGTTGACTGAAGCAGCTGCACACAGTTGTTTCATTTTGTGCAGAAGAAGAGTCACTTGGCACGTTAAATGTCCCCTTTTTATGTGAATGTGCACAGAGTCTGAAGCAAAAAGCCTGAGATGACAAAGAAAGTTTAGAACAACCTACGCGATACACGTAATCTCTGGCTGGGGCTTTAGTTTTTGTCAAGCCGGCTTACACAAAGAAAGCCTGGCTATGTCAAACTTGCTCCATAGTGCAGCCCTCTGGATTGCATTTAGGCTATTATTGCTGAGTCTTATTAATCTGACCTGTTACAATCTCTGTTTTCATTGCAGGAGAAGTTTATTTTTATGGTCATTTTAGTTTGTTTTAGATGCAAAGTTGAAAGTGAATGAGGGAGATGTTTTTTGGACCAGTAATGTTGCTGAAATGTGGAAAAAGCTTTGCCCTAATCGCTTCACATAACTCAGAGTAGGTTGTTTGTGCGCCTATATGTTAATGTCATGCCGTGCGGTTCAGACCTGTGCAGTGGTAACACCTGGGGAAGAGTCAGGCCAGACAGTAGGCTTCATCCTCTGTGGATGCCTTTGGAACATTTCATGGCAATCTGTCATTTACGGAGAGATTTCAGTCTGGAACAAAGTGGTGGTGGACCAACAGAAGGACCACAATAAGACTAGTAAAGACTATAGTCTGTGAGTTTTTTTGTTTTTACTATAGTAAAAACAAAAAAACTCACCAGGAAGTAACGCAACATTATGATGAATATGGTGTAAATCCATTTTGTTGTGTTTTGTGGTTGTTATACGCTTGGAGGCTAACTAACCAATAGTCGTCCAGCTCAAACTGTGATTGACAGATGCCGTGTTCTTCCTGAAGGGGGCAGGAACAGCAGCAACTCGCTGCTTTTCAGAGCAAAACATACTCTTTCGAACAACCTTAAAACCAGCTGTTGTACAGTCACGGTGAAATTAACTATATTTGTGGTATTTTGAGCTGAAAGACATACTGCAGGGATCTGTGAGACTTTGATTAATTTGCTGAAAAGGGCCACAGTATGGGACCGCTAAAGGGAGATTAGCCAGTATAAATACTCATGTATGGATCTTATTGGATGAGGACAGTTTTGGGAAATGCCCTTTGATTTGAAGCCCAAATATACCCAAATCCCTCCAGAGAGGCCAAGTCTCAACAGCTCCCTCTCTTTCCTGTTTCCCTACACATCTTAATAGCTTTTCATTTGGACAGTGATGAATGTGCGAACGCTATCAGCAGGGTGAGAAACGATGAGACGGACCATCCTCAAGTGTGTGTCTGTGGGAAACAGACAAGAAGGAAGAGCATCTTTATGTGTGTGTAGGTTTGTTTAGATCAGCTCTGGTGAATCCTAACTCACTTCAACATACGCTGACTTTTTAATTGAACCAGACACTAAAGAAACTAATAATGGTTGATTTATTGGTCATTATTGTACTCTGCAACATGCATGCGTGTTGTGTTGACTTACAGTATGTGAGTTTACACAATAATGCGTGTTACAACAGCTGTGAGTCTTCCTCTGTGAGCAGCCTCAGTCTCAGGCAGACTGATAAAGGTCATGCTGGCATTTTAAAGTTGTGCGACAGCAGCTTTGCCACAGAAGAGACAGAGAAAAACAAAAAAATACACACAGTACATTGTTCTTGTGTTTGAGATGATGTCCTATTTTTTATTTCCTGTATGCAAAAGTTTTCTATTGCAGCTCCCAGCTAACTGAACAGTGAGAAGATGATACAGTTAAAAGATAACGATAAAGATGAGCGTCATATCTGTGTTGGAAAGTCACATCCTCGGGTTTAGCCTTCAACACCGCAAGAGGAGGTTCAGATCTTTGCCATGCTGGTAAAAACTTTGAACTAACAGTTTGAATACAGTCATAAGTGTGTAGGAGGTGCATCCTTGTTTGAGGATTCTTCTGCAGAAATTCAGCAAAAAACAGGAGTTAGAAAGGAGACACAACAACATTACAAAATCACAGTGATATCAGTTAAAAATAAATCCAAATTAAAGGATTTAGAAAAACTTATCCAGGCTCAACTACAGCAACAGTGTCTTTACAATTCTGGCTGAAAAGTTGATCAGACAGCTGTAGCAGATTCAGATCACAGCTGCTCGTCTTCACAGAGAAAGAAAGTGAAAAATATAACCCCCAAATCTCACATCCTTATGATGACTTCTAGTCTGTCTATTAACTAATTTTAAAATGCAGCTGTTCATTTATAAGGCACTGAATCGGTCTGAATGTCTTAGATCATCTCGGACGGGTTCTGCTTACTGTCCCCAGAATCATAAACTAAACGTGGAGAAGCAGCATTCAGCCTGTAAGCTCCTCATATCTGAAACTAAATCCCAGAACGCTTGATATCTGTTCCAATTTTTAACTTTAAAAAAAACCAAAAAAAAAAAAACCTTGAAACTTTTCTTTTTGCAACATTTTTTTTTTGTTGTTAAATCAAATGTATTCATATCTCACACTGCATAGTGCCTGCCATTTCATTTTAGCTCATTTTTATGTTCTATCTTCTAAATTTTGTTCATATTTTGCTTTAATTTAACTTGTGTTTCCTTTGTATGTTTTCCCGATGTCTTGTGGTTGAAAGACTATATAACTGGAGTTGCCTCACGTTGATTCTGTGAAACAATGTCCCTGGAGTGTTCACAGTTATTGCTCTTTTTATAGTCAGAGGATACTATAGTGGTACTCCAGGCTTTCCGGTGATAAAATGTGCAATGAACAACAATATCACGTAAATATATTCCATATAACATTACAAGATGATAACTTTAAAAGCAAACTGTGTTTCATTAAAGTGTTTCCAACCAGTTCTCTTTAAATGAAAACCAGCTGCTTCATGTGTTTGGCTTGAGGCTTATATGATCTTTGAAAAGGTTCGTTTAAATGCTGTTTCACTGTGTTTATGTCTTCTTAAGCTTTACTATGCAGCATCTCCCTCTCGTGCTCTCTCACTCTCTGTCTGATCCACTTAACACGCTGGCTCGGATCAGATCGGATCCATTCACTCCGCTGGGTTTAAAGCCATTAGCTTAATTAGAGCCCAGACGTTCAATTCACTGTCAGATAGCTTGATCCGTTGGCTGCCTTTCAGATGTCTAACCTACAACATACACAAGTTGTATCACTCTGTATACTATGTTGTGTACCTCCTTTCGCTGGGCTGCTACACTGCAGATTCTGCAAAGCAGACTTGTGTGGAGCTGAATGGGCACGGTGAAATAATTTTCCTTGTGCTTAATCCACTAAATGGCACGTGGTGTTGTAAATACTGTAAAACGCAGCTGATGGGAGGTGAGGGACGGAGAGCTCGTTGCCTACTGGAGCAAATCATCCTTTAGCTTCTTTTAAAGTGCCTAACCAACCAGCTGAGCAGAGGCCTCCTCACCTTCAGCACAGCTGGACCAGAAGCAATCATTTGGCTGAAAGATTTTGCATTTGTTAAATAAGAGCCATACATCATGCTGTCAGTGCATATAGTAAACACACTGTGCGTATCTGTGCGCACTCGTGTGTCTCTTTTCCTGTCACACAACACCGCCTCCATAAATACATATAAATGTATTTAACGTGTACTGAAAAAGCTGTTACATACTGCGTACTATACATTTTCACATACAGCCACAGTTAAAGGCACTACAAGTGAAGTGAGGATGCTTCTAAATATAGTGAATTCATATTTTTTGTTATTTAGCATCATAGAAACTCAAATATTTGGCTATTTTTTTTTGAAGAGTTCCAATCATCTTGGAGAAGGTGCCACAGTTCTGTCAGTTTAGGCTTTCTCAGTGTCTTCCATTTCCTTATGTAATCCCAGACTGACATGATGATGTGGAGATCAGGGTCTCTGTGGGGGCCATACCATCTGTTGCAGGACTCCTCCTGAATATAGCTCTATATGACTCTAGCTGCACGTTTAGGATCAGGCTGCAGAACAAATCTAGATCAGATCCTCTCTGATAGTATTACACAATGGATGAGAATGTAAGCATCCGTAGTGGCAAACCGTTTTACTATAGGTACCTTCATATGGACAGTCAACTATAGTATAGTGTATAAATTAAGATTAGACTGGTCTAATCCCTGAAACCAGATTAGAGTATTAGCTTTTAGAGGTCGAAAGGACAACAGATTGTACTCCACAAATCCATTCCCGTAAACACAGCACACACACACTCAAAATACTGACCATGTTTACAATAACTGCAGCTAGCAGAAGGTGAAACCTTTAGATAAGTGGATTAACACTGGTGTTTGTGTCAAAGCAGGCAGACATTTAGAGGTTCTTAATTACAGCAGCAGCTTGTGGGATATCATAAACACTGATTGTATATTACACACATGAATTAGCTTTGCGTTTAAACTACTTATCAGACTCCTCTATGCCACATTCTTGCAGTAGTTGTGACAGTTTGGCCTGAATAACATGTCAGTAGTGAGAAAGGAGTTTCTGCCATACAGTAGCAACATACAGTACGAATATTCTGCGTTTGGTCAGTCTGCCTGTGTTTCAGAGAAATTAAGTAGTTTCTGTCTCTCTGTGTGTTCAGTGTGCAGCTGTGACTTGGTGCACTCGGGTTTCTTCCATCACTCTGGCGAATACATCTGCACGGAGGACTACCAGCGGCTCTATGGCACCCAGTGTGACAGCTGTGACCAGTACATCACTGGGGAGGTTGTATCTGCTCTGGGGAGGACGTACCACCCGCACTGCTTCGTCTGCAGCGTCTGCAAGTGAGTGATGAGTGTTTGGGAGTGTGTAGACTAACCCAGCAGGCGCGTAGACAGGCAAAGCTGGAAACTCATGCAAATAACCAGTAAATCATCAAAAATGCAAAGAAAAAGTAACGACAACCATTTTCTAACCCAACCTAATTTCATCAAATTGTGCATGGGCAGTGTTACTCGTGAGGTATGGAATTAAATGACTTCTTTTTGTTTGCATACAACATTTAAACCTTCGTTTACATCTCCACTACTTGTGTCAAGTCCTCAAGGATCCTCCTGACGCCACTTCACCTGTAACTTGTGACTTTAAAGCGGCAGCAGCAAATGGGATTCTCAGAGAGCAACACAAACTGTGGATTAATGACTTTGTAAGTCTGTTCGCGTACCACAGGTGGCCCATTACAATTAAAATGTAATGTACAAGAACTGCCTGCCACTGAATTCCCATGTTTGCTTTCTTGCTTTCACTGAGTCTTTGTAAAGACTCCTGCAGGATGTTGACAGAAGCTGCTTTAATTGAAATGCTCACAGTCAATCATACTTGTTATAGCTCATTTGAAGTAACGAATCAACATTTATTGACAGCGGGGTGATAGCAGGTTTGTCACAAAGTGCTTTGTGGAAAATAAAAGGTAAAGCATGGGAAAAACAAGTACACCAGTAAAGTGTGATATTTGTGCCAACACAGAGCGAATACAGCTCCTTGATTCATAATATAGAATTAATTGGTCTTGTTATCTTCCCAGTACGTGTATCAGACTGGAACATGAATTTGATGAGAAAGTATAATCATTGGCAAAGAATTAGGTTTCAAAATGGATTTAATGGTCTGTTTCAGTTGGATGGTCTCATTTTATTCATTATACGAAGGAAGGTGGAATACAAGTGCCAAACTGATCCCAGAATTCAGTAACTCCTTGGGTTTGAACAACAAAACAAAACTTTGTGGTTAGAAAAACTGAAAAGTTCACATTATTTTCAACATTTAAGTATATTGTTTCATTTCAAAGTGAAATAAACCCAACAAGTCCTGTCTACCCTTAACCTTAACACAGTATTTTGAGTGCCGAAATACAACCATAACAAAAGTTTCATCATCCTTCTTTTGCCATCTGCAGATATTGTAGAAAAATGAAATATAACACAAGCTACATTTGCAGATGCACTCAAGAGGGATATTTTCATTCACGAGAACTTTTACTTATTACTTATGACTCTGCAGTTTGTGGGGTGTATCAGTGATGGACAAGAAGCTGAGTTCAGGGAACTGGTCAGTCAGTTTGTGAAATGGTGTGGTAACAATCACCTCATCTTAAATACCAGCAAGACTAAAGAGATGATTGTTGACTTCAGGAGGAGCAAGAATAAGCAGCATAGTCCTGTCTACATCCTGGGAGAGGAGGTGGAGGTGGTGGAGAATTACAAATATGTTGGAGTTCAGCTGGACAACAGAATAGACTGAAAATGCAACACTGACTACATCTACAAGAAAGGTCAGAGCAGACTCTACTTCTTAAGGAAGCTGAGATCATTCAGTGTCTGCACCAAGATGTTGCAGATCTTCTATAAGTCTGTTGTGGAAAGTGCAATCAGCTTTGCAGCCATCTGCTGGGGCAGTAGCATCAGAACCAGAGACTTAAAGAAACTAAACAAGCTGATCAAGAAAGCTGGTTCTGTGCTGGGGAAAACTCTGGAACCACTGGAGCTGATTGTTCAAAAAAGAATACTGCACAAGATGATGAAGATGATGGAGGATTCTTCCCACCCTCTCCACAACACAGTGAAGAACCGACAGAGTGTGTTTAGTGGGAGGCTGCGTCAACTTCGCTGTAGAATGGAGAGATACCGAAATTCATTCCTGCCAACAGCCATCACCTTGAAGAACAAGTCTGACCGACTGACTGACTGATTATTATTGTTGTATATATATGTTATATTGATCAAAAAATGTTAAAAAAGTGAGCTTTTGGGATAAATAAAGTATTTTTCATTTCATTTCATTTTCATTCATTAAAAACAAATTGCAAATTAGCTGCATGTAAACAGAACTTGTAGGTTTGAACTTTTGGATTAATAGTTTAGCTTTGTTGTTTAAGTGAACTCCCCCTGAGGTAACTGTAGAAGGAAACTGCTCACTTTCTTGTGAATTAACCAATTTGTTGCTGTTTTCTCACTTTTTTCCCCATAAAAGTTCTGATTAAAACTTCACTCCAGACCAGCTGCTGCTTTGGTTGCCTGACAGGTGCTGTTCTGACCTCTGGCCTCACTTTGTGTGGCCACATCTTAATCCTCAGGCCAAAACCTGGGAATATGTTTATAAAGAACCCTAAAACACCATCCCATGCCTCACTGGATGCTGTCCTTTTCTGTAATATGCATTTTTGTGGTGGACAGTTTCTGATAGAATGTAATTATGTGTAAGATTTCCAAAGCTGTAGTAACTCTCACTCATTTATGCCTTTGAATCTACAAAGGAGAGTACAATAAAATCTCCTATAGTTGTCAAACTACAAAAATACACCACACATTTTGCTGCCAGTTGTTTTTTTGGCACCGCTTCTTTGTTATGAAATAGTCCCAGCGTAAACACGTTGCTATTGATTTGTCAAATATTAGTTTTCAGAGCTGTGAGAACAGCAAATGCCTTTCCATACACATCCATTGTGTGAGGTTCGGTGGTAAAAATATCAGTTACATTTGTCAAAGCTACAAATAAGAGCATAAGAGTGAATGTGAAAATCATGTTTTTTGTGATTTGGTTGAGCTGAAGAATGTCTGCTCTGTCCCTATCTGCATGGCATTACTGAAATGCTTCCCCGTGTGTGTGTGTTCTCAGGAGTCCGTTCCCAATTGGAGACAGGGTGACCTTCTGCGGGAAAAAGTGTGTGTGTCAGCAGTGCTCACACTCTCTGAACAGCGACAAGCCCGTCAAGGTCCACGGGCCGAGCTGTAAGAAACAAACACACACAAATATATGCGCACACATGCGTGCCACACCAATTCTCTGGTGTGGCACGCATGTATGTATATGCATTGTAAATTTTGTGCACCAGACATAAGGCATAATCCATGACAAGCTGTGCAGTCATACAAAAATAATGCAAGAACTGAGTTGGGTTTTTTTTTGTAAATTCTGATAACTTCAGTTTGGCTACTTGATAGAAATCATGTTGTTTATTCGTATTTTGAGGCAATGTGTTATAATCTGAATGGAAAACTATTAGATCTGACCCTGTGTGTGACAAAATCTCAACCTTAAAGGTTCCCTTGCTTGCCTCTAAGTCTTTAGTTGCAAGCTAAGGTTTGATTTACTAATCCTGCAAAAACAGGAGAAACAACTCAAATAGGTAGCCCTCCTTCACTGTATAGATTTTTATATGACTGTCAAACCTATGAAAAGAGCCAAACACACCATATTACCTGCAAACTTGTTGTATGTTTTGGTCCATTCATTCCTAACATCTCAACTACTCAAGTGCATTTATTTAAATAGGTTAAATTATATCTTACAAAAGCTTGACATCATAGATTGTAGTATTTTTTTTTTAGTGTATAGTTTTTACATTGAGTAATGCATCAGGAGCTGTTGTTGACTATTTACATCAGCAGATTAATATATATTTAATGTTCTGGTGAGTATCTATAATGGCAGGACGGGGTGTTTGGGACTTAGTCAAAATGAAATGCCCACGTTCATCACAAAGAAGAAGCATGTGTCCAGGGAACTGTGTGGCTCTTTAATGTGTTTCTAAACAACACAGATGTATACCATGGAGGTGTAAGATGTGTGGGGCTTTAACTGTGCAGATGCTTATTAGCATGATAAGTTCATTGTTGTTTTTGGTCTCTTCTGCAGCAACAATCTGCTACATCATATTCTTGTTTTTTATTTTATCACAGATTTTTCTAGCTACTGATATTATCTAAAACTGCTCGCATCCTTGTGATTCATCTTGCATGTAAGACTGTTTGTTCCCTTGCAGATGAACACCAAGAGTTGTACAGTCCACCTGCGATAAAACACCACATTCCCTGCAGCTAAACACCTACAAACACACACACACACACACACACACACACACAGAAGGTGGCCGGCTGCTTCAGGTAGTCTTGTAGCCTGGTTCTGGTAGCTCCATCTGGCAGTGTGACGACAGGAGAGAGGAGAGAGAAAAGAGGAGGAGGAGGAGGAGGAAAAAAGGAAGGAGAGGAGTGATGGGAGGTTGGTGGAGCAGAGAGAGGCCAGGGCAGGGAGGGAGGATGATAAATGTATAAATGCTGAAAATGTTCCTCCCCTCGTCCCCTTCTCTGTTTCCTCCAGACTGTGCAGGCTGTGGAGAGGAGATCAAACAGGGTCAGTCTCTGCTGGCTCTGGAGAGGCAGTGGCACGTCAGTTGTTTTAAATGCCGGACGTGCGGCTGTACGCTCACTGGAGAGTACATCAGCAAGTAGGTGGCTTGATCCTCCATAGGTTGAGTTGTAGTGAGCAGATATGCAACATTTCTTCCAGGAAATCCACATCCTCTGTTTTGAAAAGCCACTTTCCTGGAACTGTTGCTGGCATCTAGATTTAAATAATGATAAGAAACCTGCTTAAATATGTATGTAGTTGCTAAAAAATAAAGCTGTTCAGAGCTCTCTTTGCAGCAAATCATTAAAAAGTAGTTTTGTTTTTGTCTAAATAGCATCCACGCTGTTTATTTTAAGTGTTCGTCTTTCAGTCTTCTGGTTATTTCAAGTATTTTTTCATTTTCTCTTATGATTCGGGTATTAAGAACCAATGTGTTACTGGATAAATATCAGTGGAAATCGTTGCACAAAGCCAGGAGACACATTTTAATTGTCTCCTCTCTGTTCCTGGCAGAGACGGGATTCCTTACTGTGAGACTGACTACCACACTCAGTTCGGGATCAGGTGTGAGAGCTGTAACAGGTACATCAGCGGCAGAGTTCTGGAGGTGAGCGTGTTTTTTTTTTATTGTGCGAATTCGTGCTTAAGACAGATGGCAACGGCGACAGGAATGTTCATGATTTTTGTCTGCGTGTCTCCGCACAAGTCGGTCTATAAAAAGCTGCGAAAAAAAAAAATGCAGCTGTCCCTCTTTAAACGACTGAAGTGTTGACTGATGATGAAGCAGCTTCGGAAGACCCAACAAAGCAGCACTCCCGTCTCCTCCACCCTATTCATTCCTCTCTTGTCTTTTTTTTTCTTTCTTTCTATTTCTTATCACGCCTCTCCTCGTTCTTCACTCTGCATTGTTTTTCTCTTTTTCTTATCGCCACTCTGTTCTCATTTTCTCATTTGTGTCATCTGCTTTTTGCCTCTCTGCGCCTGATTTATTTCCTTTTTTCTCTCTTGTCCTTTCCTTTTTCTTATCCGTCCTGCAGGCTGGAGGGAAGCACTACCACCCCAGCTGTGCCAGGTGTGCCCGCTGTCACATGATGTTCCTGGAAGGGGAGGAAATGTACCTCACAGGTACAGTGGCTTTCTATGGCAGCAATGTGTGGTCACTTAAAGAATGGGTTTTGCACTATGTAAAGCACAAATATAGAGCCAAATGTCTGAATCTGTGCCCATGGAAAGGTGCCTCAGCATTTGTACAGTCAATAGGCATAAAAATAGACTTGTAGCATCTATTGAATTAGATGCACCCTGCAAGCATCCAGATGGCCTGAGTGTGATTCTGCATCTGTGGAGGAGTGTGTGCGCTTGTATTACTCGTGCTGCGAGGACATAAATCTGTTTGCACGCCATGTTGTGGAGACCTGCCTTCCTCTGGGGACAAAAAGCAAATTCCCTTTAACCTGTTCAGACCTAGCGTCCACATATGTGGACATCACATTTTGGGTTATATTACCACAGCGGTTAATTTTTTAGATATTTTTAAAAAATTATTATTTTATCATTGTTATTTGTTTTTCAAATTATTTTAAATATATATATTTATTTCATATTAATTACATAAATGTATATTTTTTTTAAAATGTATTTTTATTTTCTTTATATTGTTTGTTTTTTATTCCTCTTTGCTATTTGATCTCATCAAATAGCAAAGAGGAATAAAAAATGCATCTCAAACAAGAGCTCGGATCTTAACAGGTTTAAAAAAAAATCATTTAATTCTCAGCTGAAGACTTAGATTTAGGCAAGTGGCAGTTATGATTGTGGTCTCCAGGAAATGTAAATTCATGTAATAGCCTCTGAAGTAATGGAAACACAACTGTGTGTGTGTGTGTGTGTGTGTGTGTGTGTGTGTACTTTGGTATCCATGTTTGTCTGGAGCAAATTTAAGTTTTAGATCTTGGGAGTGAAGGCATTTGTGGAAACTGAGGGCCAGTTTTCACTTTCTTCACCTTGAATGGGTTAAATGACTGTTAAGACAGAGAATTAGGATTAAAGTAAAGGTTGAGGGTCAGCAGTTTGAGTTGAGGTATATAAGGCGAACCAGAGACAAGTAGGATTTAGCTACCTGATAAAAGCCTGCTTTTAACAAATTACTGCTATATAGGTTATTGATCCCACATATAACACTCACTACTAGACTGGGTAGTAAAGACACACAAGCATGCACACACCCTCCCCCCATCTGACACATACACACACAAAAGTGGGAGTCAATTACCCTTCAGCCTCTGCCTCTGCCGGTGTGTCCATTATTCTGGGCTGTCACTGACAGAATTTATTCTGAATGAGGCCGAATTCGCCGGAGGTTCAAATTGTATCATCTCGGAGCTTCTGTTTTACAAATTAGATTGCAGTAATTGAAGTTAATAAGCTCAATCATGGGTATCATCAAATTGGTTGATATGAGAACGCAGGAAAATCTTTCTTGACCGCATGTCCCGCAAATTGCATTTGTATGCAGCTATTCTGGGTTAATAATCGTGTTCAGGAGGAAATAGATCATGACGGTGGCGATAATGTTTGTGTAGAACTACTCTGCGAAGGTAGGATTAAGCAGCAATATTGAGTGCCAGTGGAAAAGAGGTATGACCTAATTTGCCTTCAGTCCTTGTTTACATCTTGTGTGTCCCATACTAACACTGAAATTTTATTATTTAACAACTACCTTAATCCTTTAAGTGCATTGAATAAATAGAAAAATAGAAAAGTATACATAGTCTTGCCTGTGAATATTTTGCATTTATATGCAATTTAAAAATGCTGTTTGATATTTTGAAGAAAGGCATCAACATATGAATGCAAATTAACTGCATATAAACCTACAGACATACTTGTATACACCTAAAAATAAGAGCACTGCAATTCCAAACGCTGCTTGTTTTTTTCAAAATAAAAGCAAAGCTGAAATACTGTAAAGAGAAAGTAGAACAGGGCACTTTGAAAAATAAAAACAGGCATTTTGTGCATCTGTAACTCTGCTTAACGGAGTTGCATCCAGATTAAATGCGGAGCTACTGTAGCGTAACATGTGGCCGACACACACAGTGTCAGAGTCGCCACACAGGTTGACACCTCCTGTTCCACCTCATTGACATTCTGCTGCTTTCCCGCTCAGAGCCGCCAGTAAAACTAAGCATTTGCATATTGTACTTGAAGTGTGCGTTCGTGGAAGTGAATGTGTGCGTTTTAATCTATGCCTGTACATGCATGCGTCGTTTTCTGTATATCTTCTTGGATGCATGTTTGCACAGTTGCGCGTCTCTGCATATGAATTCAGGTGTGTGTGTGTGTGTGTGTGTGTGTGTGTGTGTGTGTGTGCTGAGCTCCAGTGAGTTGCCCCAAGGTTACATTCACTCCTTTTGATGACTTCAGACATGTAGGGGGGCTGAGCAATCACCCTCGTGAGACACACTCAATTAGGAGACACACGCACGTGCACGCCAACGTGCACACAACACATGCACACACACCTTCACAATCAATCTCCTGATACATGTCTCGAATAAGAAGTGGTGCACTTATGTGTGTGTGTGTGTGCGTGTTAGTGGTAAAGATGTAGAACTATTTTATGAACTAATAGTGGATGCTTTGTCAACACGTACTCTTAAAATGGATGAATAGATGGACAGTGTTATTTACCTCTTGTGTTCCCAGCATTGTTCAATAGTATTAGTGTTGTTAGTTGATTTTCATTTTTTTCAAATGATTGTAACACTTTTGTAATTTTGTTTAGAATTTAGCCACATATTTGGCAGCAGGTCAAGGGTCGGTTTTGCTTTGGTTTTGCTTAAATGTGATCTTGTGCGATTTTCCTTCACGTTTATGGTTGCTGCAAAAAATCAAGTACTTATTTGGTTAAGTTATCAATTTTCCTGCCTATTATGATCTGCACTTATATAATGCTTTTCTACCTTAGACGGTACTCAAGGCGCTTTACAGTCTTTCCTCATTCACACACACACATTCATACACCAATGGCGACAGAGCTGCCATGCAAGGATGGACACTTCGACTGTGGAGAGGGATTGAGCCGCCAACCCTGTGATTAGAGGATAACCGTTCTACCACCTGAGCCACAGCTGCCCTATTATGCTTTTTTTCTGAGCCCAAATTGATATATTATTCTGTAACTGCTTATAAAGCAATCATCCCATTTTAGAAGCTGAAACTGGCAAATGAACTGCTATTATTACTTCAGGTGATTTCTTTTGGTTAAGTTGAAATAAATAATTCTTAGAACTGTCACTTTCAGAAAAATCAGCACTTGGTTTCAGATATATTCATGTTTTTATCCAATCAAACCACATGTACACTGACCAGCCACAACACAAACCCAACTGCCTGCTATTGTGTAGCGCTTTGTCGTGCCAAAGCAGCTCTGACATGTTGGGACATGGACTCGAGATCTCTGGGGGTGTCCTGTGGTGTCTGGCACTGGAACCTTGGCAACGGATCCTTTGGGTCCTGTGGGTTTTGGGGTGAGACTTCTGTGGATGAAGCTTGCTCTTGCGAGATGCCCGATTGGATTGAGATCTGGGGATTTTGAATGGCAACTGTACACCTTTGACTCTTTGTTTTGTTCCTTGAGTCGCTCCTGAGCAGGTTTTGTAGTACATTGTCTTGCTGGAAGAGGCTTTGGGGAGCAATGTTGCCACAGATGGGGAGTACATGTCAAAATGAGATCCATGGGAATGCTGGGAGATTTCCCGTCAGATCATTAAATTGTTATAAGATCAATGTCATTCAGGTTGCCTGTCAGTTGTTTTAATGTTGTGACCAAAAAAATGCTCTACCCATCTTAAATGCTGAAGAAGATTTATTTTATGTTTACACTAAATTTACACCATGCTTTGACTCAACAAGGAAAAGAAAAAATCTCCGTGGGCCATTACATATTTCTGGCTACAGCTGACTGATCAGTGATGCCAGAGAGAGTTTTTTTTTTTTTTTGTTTGGCAGTATCAAATGGATTTTATTTAAATAATAAACAGTCGCTCCGTCAAGTGCAAACTGCCGATTAACTGCATTTATTCAGTCCTTTCTTACTCAGTGAAGGGCAACAGACATAGAGTACACATCTGAATGGCTCCATTAGCTGGATGTGTATTACTGTTTCTCATGGCAGTATGATTCAGCAAAAAGAAAATCGCCCAAGGCCATTTAAATACCCGCTGCTTTCTACAGTACCATCAGAATTTCAAATGACATAAGCACAAAGTCAATATTGCTTCGCTAGAATTACACCGGCTCCCTTCGTGCCATATTTTTGAATATCACTGGTCACCATCAGAAGGCCTATTTGTCCAACTGATCACTCTTATTTTGCATGATGTAAAAAGAGTCTGTCTAAACACAGAGGACGCTTGATTCTGACATGACACATTTGCACCTAAGAAAAAAAAGTGAAATTATTTTAGTTGTGTATTTGTGATAAACGGCAGGCAACTAATTTTCTCAGAATTGATTTATCACACTGCATTTGGGATTAAATTCTTTTCCTGCGCACAATTCAGATTCTCCTCATCCCAGAGATAAAGGATCTCAAGTCCAAGGCCACACATCTGTTTCGACAGCAGAGTTGAGGCGTGTGGGTGGGACGGGGGTGCACTGAATCACCACGCATGGTTTCTGTCTCCAGTATTGATTTTGTGCGCGGGTTTGTGTGAGACTGTGTCGAGTTGTTGGGTGTGTGTAGCCTCTGTGCATCTGTGCGTGTTTGCGTGCTTTCGCGTTGTTGTGTGCGCGCAGGTCAGATTTATGGTGTTGATGGTGGTTGTATATTAGAGTCATGATCAGCTAACTGAGTCCATTCGGCTGGTCTGCATCGCCCCGAGGCCCCACAGAATGATCCATAGTCAGCATGTGTGTGTGTTTGTCTCTGTGTGTGTGTGTGTGTGTGTTCAGGGCGGATATATTACTGTCATTATCACTATCAGATCCAAATGCGTATAACATCCTGACATTAGTGGTTTATTATTATGAATAAGATCGAATAGCACTCATTCATTCCCTGTTTCCTCTCCTGGCTCTGTGGTTCTTCTGCTTCTCTGCTCCTTTTGTTCTCGCTTATCTCTCAGATGACCTCCTCCATTTCTTCTAATCTCTCTGTCATTCTCCTTCATTTCAATTCAATAAACATCTTCGACAACGGCTGTTAAATCAGAAGCTTGTCAAAGCAAATGTTCACTCTAATATGTTACTCCTCATACACATGTCTTACTGTCCTGTCTCCGTCTCTCTTGCTTCCTGTCTCTTTGTTTGTGTGTTTTTTACACTTCAAACATGATGGTGCCATTATTGAAGCAAGACTTCAGAATTGAGTAACTTATTTTTTGTTCACAAAGTGGAAAATACCTGAAAGAAAGGCAAGAAAAACCGTACAAGATAAGTGATGAGGAACTGGATGTATATTTCATACTCAAGAAGGCTCCATATGATGATTAGCTTGATGAATGAACTTGCTAAGATGTTTATATTGAATAGGAGACTTTCCTGTCTTTCTCTCGACTGTACTATCAAATAAAGATAACTTTAAAAAAAACAAAAAAAAAACTTGTCCGACGTTGCAGGTTCTGAATCAGTGGCTTGATAAGAAATAACTGTGACAATTTCAGGCTTCTATCTTTACCAATTCCTGAGATATTGTCGTTTTAACATAGCCTCAACTTTCAACGTGTGACAAATCCTGCTGAAAATGGGTCAATGATCAATGATCAATGGGTTCATGATGAAAAAGTTTTAGGCAAATCAGACACGGTCAAGCAGAAGGCCCTGATGATCTGAGATTAAATAACCCTTCAACTTACATTTATTATTACATAACATTTTCTAAAAAAAACTGCAACCTCTCAGCCTGGCAGGTGTTATCTGCTGCTCGGTATTCGCTTTAGGTTACCCATGATGCCGTTGTGCATCCCTAATGGTAACACTTGTTAATTAGCACTGAACACAAAGTGCAGCTGAGGATGATCAGAGATGCTGAATTTAGTCATTAATCAAAGTGTCAAAAAGATGAAAAGTCAGGGAATATCTGAAGTTATTCCTTCTGAGTGGAACATGAGTGTCTGAACAAAATTCCATCCAATAGTTGTTGAGATATTTCAGTTTGGGCAAAGCGGCGGACGGGCCGGCCGACTCTCCCCGGAGCCTCGCTGCTAGCATGGCTAAAAATTCTCTCTGTCTTCCTCTGTGTTTATGTGTGTGGGGAGACCAGAGCAGCTCCATCCTCTGTTCTCAGACCAGACAAACTGCCTCCACAGCCATACGCCCTGCCTCCTGTGTGTGTGCCGCTGATTGATGTTGATGCACTTGAGAAAGGCTGATCTACTCTTCATAGGAACCCATAAAACTGTATGGCTGCTGCCCACACACAATAAACAAAGTAAACTGAGACATAATGCTGTGTGTTTGTGTGTGTGCAGGTTCAGAGGTTTGGCACCCCATGTGTAAAGAAGCAGCTCGGCTGGAGAGAAAACTGAGGGTGAGCGATACTCAAAATACCTGCAACCCGGCTGCCTATTCTCTCGATTTCTGTTTCTGTCCTCTCTCTGTTTTTTTTTTTTCTCTCTTGCTGTGTCTGAAGTGTTTTATTCTTGGTTTACAAGCTACAATATGTTGTTCTTTGCATATCAGAAGTTAACTTGAACCAATTTTCCCTCCAGTTAAACATAGCTTTGAATAAAAGTGTGTTTTATCTGGCTTATAATTAGTAATTACAGCTTAAATATAGATTTTTTTTTGCATGTTTTCCTACATGCAGTCATTGCCAAGACGGTCAAAGAGTCTCCAAACTTGCCTTGTAGCTTTATTTGGCAGATTTTGTCCTAAGAGCCTTAGAAAAAGTCTTCAAAAAAAGCGTTTTGTTTAAAATATTTATAAGCGCTGCACTTTGACAGCTCCCTGCCAGAGCCTGGAGTTATCATGAAAATGCAAATAATGCCAAGTGGACGGACGAGGAAGTTGTATCCTCATACACACTCAGGGTTAATGAAAACCAGCAAAGAAAAAACTTCTCTTCTTTCCTTTTATAGTCAGATGATAAGTTTAAGTTTATCTAAAGTCACATTTAGTTAATCCAACTACTAGAGAAACATCTGCAAGATTCTTCACTGAGGTTTGATGGTGCATGTCTAATGATACTGTCAGTCATTACATTTAACAGGTACAGAATTTACATTTCTAGAACTCAAAGTGTTGTTCAAGTATTAATGGGACTGTCGCCACAAAGCTGATCCGTGTGCTGAACAGTGGACACTGAAGAGGACATCACATGTCAATTATTAATGAAGGTGTCATAAATCCCTTGTCCTTATGCGAGGAGTTTGGAAGCTCTTCACCTGGATTTGAAAATATGCATAGCAAATGAACCACACAGTCAAACCTTTGACTGTAATAATTTGTAATTTAAATATTCAATTAGTTAGTAATTATTATAAAGCTGGCACATGTAATACAGGTTTTGTCTCACTGGTTGACTTATGACACTTTATGAGAACGTTCATGTGCAAGCATTTTATTATTATTCATGGAAGATTCAGTGATATATAACAGCTGCAGCTTTTAAATGTATTTAACTTTATGGCCGTTTAGCTGCTCGGCTAAGTTGAAGATGGTCTGTGATTTTGTTTCAGGAAATGTTTATTTTATTTAATCAATTTAAGTTTAGCCATTACGACTATTGGTCTATGTCCGAAACACTTTTTTCCACTTGTATTTATTTTCTACCACAAGCAGATTTTGATCTAAGAGGTTGTCCATTCAGTCAGCACACGTCTATTGTAGATGGACAACTTAAGAACAGAAGTTACAGTTACAGAACCTCACTTTGTAATAAAATGCAGCAGTCGTAAAACCCCCTGCTTCTGTTTGTTGTCTAAACTTATATACTTTACTTAAAAATGTGATATTCATTAGTTTCAACAATACGTTAACACTTTATCGTGTACCAAAGATATACAGGAAGTTGGTATTTCTACAATGTATGACAGTCTTATGCAAGTTTTACCCAAGATTTTTTATCACAAACACCTGGTAAAGACCCACCTACCACCTGAAAGCGGTAGTGTCGCTATAAATCAGAAGTTATTACATATCAAATCCACTGTCAGATCAAATCTTGAATATCATCTTTTTTTAAATTTTTTTTTTAACTTGATTGCCTCAAACTGAATTACTTCTCAGCTCCAACTGTTGCACCCGAGCTGACTTCACTCTTCCATTTGTCCAACCAGCTGAGACGAACCTCTGAGACGGCGTCCATTTCTCCTCCAGGCTCGTCTCCTCTCCTCGGCTCTCCCCACCGGCTCATCTGCGTGAGTAACTGTCACCACGGTAACGCCAATGCCGCCGCGGTTACGCCCTCAGCTGTCACTGTCACAGCCGTCGTTTAAACATAACCAACGCTGACACAAACCCAAAGAGTCCCTGAATGCTCACAATGTCTGACCACCCATCTGCTTCACTGTGTGTTTGTTAATACCGTGATGCTGTGTTAAATTCTATTGTACAGAACTCCATTTTTAAGGAATATACTTTTAATTTCAAGCCCTTTAATTCTCCCCAAGGCCACTGAACAGTTAGACTGTCAGGTGGAAAACAATAATAAAAAGTGAATGAACATAAGTCCTTGAACTGTCTTAGATGATGTTAGTCTACAGGTCAGAGTTCAGGTTCACAAGGTTTGATTGGTTTTACATCATGTTTAAAGTGACATTAAATAGCCCATCCTTTATTTTAATTTCACATCTGTGTGTCTGTTTGTCAGTCATGTGTCCTGCTTGTCTACTGCATGTGTGTTTCTGTATTCACATGTGTGTATCTCTGCCGCTGGTTTTCTTCTTTCTTTGATTTGAAATGACTATTTACGTGCAATTTTCCATTTATGACTTGATTTGCTTCCTCTCCCTCTGTGTTTACTGGTCTCTCTCTCTCTCTCTCTCTTGCAGTCCAAGGCTGACAGTGATTCTTTGGACTATAAGCACCTGGCGGCTCTGCCCAGGGTCAAAGCCATATACGACATCCAGCGGCCCGACATCATCCCGTATCAGGCAGATCACGCACACACACACCTCTCTGATGACACTTTGGAAAGATACAGCTGTGGACAGGTAAAAGATTAAAAAAGAAGTTGATCCGGGGTTACATTTCTGTCTTTAAAATGTCAGATAAAAGAAAATTTAGCACAACACTCATCTATCTCTAAATAACGACATTTTTTTGGTCTTTTTCTTATCCAGTCACTGGGCTCCTTATCACCATACTCTCATGTAAGTACAACACGGAACAATTTAGCATTTCTGTCTAATGGCTCAGAAGGAACGTTTACTCCAAAGTAATAAATGTAGAACAGAAAATAATATCAGATAAATGGTTGTCGAGAAAAGCAAAGAACAGACACACTTAAACCGAGAATCATTGATGTATCAGTGAGACTAGCACCCAGTCAAGAATTAGATCAGTCACATGTCCTCATAGTTTGTTTTTGCACTTAAAATTTAGTGTGTTGCTTTAGATGCTAGCAGGTGGATTTTCCTCCCTTCAGACAGTCAGGCGTCGCTGTTCATCCCTCTTCCCAGTCTACAAGTAAAATCAAGCTAACTGCTGCGTGTTTAAGATGCAGCCAGTCTTTTTATCCAAATCTTGGCAAGAAAGCAGGTAGCCAAAAGAGCTATTTCTTTAATAAGAGGCCTTCTTGTCGGTAAATGAGCTGTCAATCTGTGCAGTCGTCATTTGCTTTTATTCCTCGCAACTATTACAGGTTAAACATCCACACATTAGTTACCAAACACGCTGTAAAGATGCCGTGTGTGTAAACAGCTGCACACGTGTTCGCCCTTGGAGCAACATAAGCACAATGTAGAATATTAAACTGCTGTCGGGATGATTAAAATTGTGTTTTGGAAGGAGCCTTGTGGTCTAATTTACTGCCTTTAGTAAATTAAAGCGCATTACTCAAAGGCAGCCTCTCTCTCTGTCTCTCTCTCGTCCTTTCAGGATCTTTTGGATGGCATGGATTTGAGAACGAGGCGTTCCTCCAGCTCTGCCTTCACTGACTCCCCTGCACACAGTCGCCACGGAGGCTCCCCACTGCATTATTATCTCCCTGGTAATGCTCCCACTCAGGCAAACACACACACATAGAAAATACTGGGTCCCTACATGGAGAGAAGCTCTTTGAGTGGGTGCAGTGAGGTGTCAAGTCCTGTTTGGAGCCCCAGAACTCCCACACTCACTCACAACGCACGTGTGCTCACATACATGTAATTCATCCGGTTATCAGTGGCTCTGTCTTTCATTAGCTTGTCTGTCTTTCTGTTTGGGGGCCCATTCATGCTTTGGTTCCTCTCACTGTGATTGGCTGGGCTGACCGCAGGCAGTGAGAGTGGCAGGAGTTCACCCTATTACAGTCAGCCAGAGCCCAGGTGTGCTACGCCCACCACCACCACCTTCCAAGCCCCCAAGCATTTCCATGTGCCAGGTAGGCGGCCATCCGTAACCCTGACCTGTTTACTAACCCAAATTTTCCCACGTCAGCCTGAAACCGACCCCCAAATCCGAGTGTTTGCCTCCTGCACCTTGTAGATTATCATTATGTCACCATTAATCACTGTCAAATGTATTTCGACAGCGTGATTTAAATCCCTGCCGAGACCCTGACCCACATCCTGAATCTAAAGCCACAGAGCTGTCCTCCCTCCTGAACCCACAAACCCAATGAGCTTCCAACCTGATTGTGGTAATTGGTTGTTTGAAAGAAAATCAATCAAGAGTGGTTTTGAATATTGACGGATCGTGTGTTTTTACAAAACATTTTGCTCCTATCAGTTCCTCAAATGTCAGGATTTGCTGCTTTTTTCCATTTTGTATCGATATAAATAGAATATCTTCAGGTTTGAACAGTTTATCAGGCCAAACAAGCAAATGGGAGATGTTAGTTGTTCCAGTGGGAAACTGTGAGTTTTATTTTTCACCTAAAAAAAACAATAAACACATATATAAAGATTCATTAATAATAAATATGGTCACAGTATGATTTTAGATGCTGAACAAATACAATCTAAGCAGAGAAGAACTCAACGCTTTCCTGTGAGTCACTGTTTATTGTCATCCCTCATCATTTCTGTCTTTTGCCTTATTTTAAAGAGATTTTAATGGTCATAAAAATGTATTTATTCTCTTTTCATTGTCCTCCAGTGGGAAGTCTCTGTCTAATTTATCTTCCAGACCTGGAACTCTTGTATAACATATGTGCGCTTTCATCTAACAACTAATACCAGTTCATTTTATTTAAACAGTCCATCAGCCCTCCACTTTATCAAGTTAATGCCTCTCTCCACCCTGAACATTTCACTCCGTCTTTGTTCCCTTCACTTTGAAAGGCCTCTTCTTTCCACTGCAAGCTGTGCATTTGATTTCCCTCCATCATCCTCTCCGCCTGCCCTCAGTCCATTCCTCACCGCATGTTTCCCCCTCCTTTATTTATTATTTTTTATCCATTGCCGTTTTTTCCGTGCCAGTCCTGCAAAAGCACTCGCTTCGTGCTTTTCAACATTGAGCAAAACGTATTTGGTGGATGCTTTTATCCAAAGTGCCTCACTGTATCACAAGTGCATACAGATTTAGCGTGGATGGCCCATTGGGAGTCAAACCTCCAACTTGGTAGGATTGGTGGCACACTTTGTTCAATGAGTGGACATATTTTCTTTTTCTTTATTCGTCGTCTCTTAAACTATTTTTAATTTACTGCAACACATTGTTGTCGTGTGCTTCCAGCATTTGGAGCTGAATGATTGTTCCAAATTCTCCACCAAATGAGGTCTACAAGATGCATTCCTGCCATTTCTAAGTTTGCCCCTCCTCTTGCCTTTATCTTTTCCTCTCCATCCTGCTCTTCAACTGCTCTCCTCCCTCTTTATTCTGGTGCCATCTGCTTCTCCTTCCCGTTTTAAGCCTGTGAATCTGTATTAATCAGCCTCTCTGCATGTCAGTCAGGTTGTCTGGATGCGCGGCACCGCCTCCGCTATCCCAGTTTATTACCTGTGCTGTCGACTCTACAGTTAAGAAGACTGTTAATGTATACAACTAATTTGGTGGGACGGTATGAATGAGGAACACCAGAATATTCACTTCTCCTTTCCTTTCTTCTCCCTTCCTCCCCTCTCAGACTATATTTCATCTTCCGCCACTTACTCCCTTTTTGTTTCTGTTCTCAGCTTCTGAGGAAACCAACATCTACAGGAAACCCCCCATCTATAAGAGACAAGGTTGGTGGATTCCTCGTAACGTTGTTCTTGCTGAAGCCTTTGTTCATCTGTCTACCTGTCCGCACACTTGATTCCTGCATTCATTGTAGCACATTCTTACTGCAATGTTTCTATTTGTCTTCCTTAATGAACCCAGTTACTAAAAAGATCTGAGCTAAAGCTGAATTATATTTTTATATATTCTTCCTCCTGTCTAAAATCTGGTGCTTCCGAAGCCATTCAGTCCTCCTCTTGAAATTCTCCAGCAGTCAGAGAGAAAGTGAAAGCATTTCTTCTGAAAGGCTGCACAGGCTTGATGCAGCAGCAATTTATCACTGGCCAGGATGGTTGCAGAGTTCATGGAGGACCACTGGATAATCTAAACAGAAGATCAGACTGCCCAGTGTTTCAACAAACATCTGAAATTCTGTTTTACACTTGTTTGTTAACACTTCTAGCCAAACCATAAAGACTGTGAATACCTGCACCGGTGCTGAACAGATCACATAGCACTGAACATACAGCAATTTTGATAATCTGTTTTAGCTTCTGAAATGTGAGGCTTCAATGATTTTCTCCTCTTTTTTTTTTTTGTCATTTTCGATTCAGTATCTTCTGGTTTTTTAAATAATGACGACCTGACAGTCAAGATTTTAGGGTGTGTACAACATTGTTGCTCACTGGTTCAAATTCCAGACAGTCTGACCAATTTTGTAGGCTGAATAATTAAAAGAAAAAAGGCCCCAATATGAAATGTGAGCCTCTTATCTGCATGAATACCGACTTTATTCATCTGGTTGGGTTTGAACCTTAACATGGCCGAGCCAAAGAGATACCCTTTTTTAGTCAAGGTCAATTCAAGTTTAAAGCACTGCAGATATCCCTGGACAAATGCAATCTTCCGTGGGAAAAAAAAAATTATTCCAGACAGTGAGATTTTGAACTTGTCGGCATGAGAATCAGTTTTAGAAAACACCTTGAATTCAGATATCCAACAATCAAAGGTTCCTAATTATCAGAGCGTCATTCACCACGCAAAAGTTACTTTTAGGTGCCTTGGATAAACCAAACTAAGCTACACAAACAAGTCCAAGGAGCCTGAGTTGAAGCCACATCAAAAATGAGATTATAGATTCAGCTGGCGATTGAAGAGGAGAGGTAAAACTGAGAGAAGCAGTGCCAAACACTGAGTGTGTAGGTGATCCATCAGTGCTCGGATGGCAGTTCCCACAGAGTTACAGTTCCTCAGAAAGACCTCTGCATGATTTACGCTGCGCTGCAAAGTGCTGACAAACCTCTCTCCTCAGTCTGAGTAGGCAATCTGTGATCTGGGCTGTGTGGATGAATTTAAATTTACTGCATACATCATGTGTTGAGCAGGTTTCATATTAAGGCCAAAAAATACTGTAATCAGGTATATTAGTACCATAATGTATGTCACAGTCAGACCTGGCTGCGCCTCAGAAACACAAGCTTTTTATGTGTCCTTCAGGAGCTGTTTGGTTATATTACCAGAAGGCACAACTGAGAGATAGTGAGCGTTTGAAAATAGCACAGTAAAGAACACAGATGAATGGTTTCGCCGCAGTGTTACAGTGCCACCTGAATGAATGATCTGACTCAGGCTAAAAATCCACCTTATTTTAGTGCATTTTGACACATCTAATATCTGTTTTAAATGTCAAATATTACCAGCATCAAAGTGCAGGCAGTAGCTTGTCTGTGAAACATGCATGCATTTCAGCAGATCTGCATGTTATACCTGAAAGAATGAAATATGCGTCTGTTCATATTAAAGATGGGGTAGGCAGTATTTTTCATTGCCATCACTAGGAAAGAACTCCATAATAACCTTTCAGCATGTTGTAATTCAAGTGGTCCTCAGGTGAAACCAGATTTGTGCACCTCCTCTTGGCTCTGTTTTCAGGATTTTAAAAAATGTAGCTTGTGAAGGGAAACTCTTGCTAATCACAGGTTTTTCAGACCAGATCAGGCGAGACAGTACAAAGAGCTGCATTAGAAGTAGGATGTGATGGCTGAATGGTTCTCTTTTTCTGCCCTGCCTGAGGCTGCAGCCACATTTTGCTTTAGTTTAGTGTTTGGTTTGCAACTTACAACACCTCTAATTATACTATGGCCATGCATCCACCTGGCATTTTGTACATCTATTGCCATTTCTATCTATTTATGTCGGCTTTGTTATGATGGGTTACACAGAGGACTTTTACTCAGGAGACTGGAATTGAAGTAAAGCTGACAAGGAACGCTGACTTTTGTCTTGACTGTTTTGGAGGATCTGACACCCATGCATATAGTGGTATGCATTTAGTGGTGTTCATCTGGTGGGCAAGATTTGCAGCAAATAAGGAAGGGCAGTCTGCCTTTTCAGATTTTTGCCTACAACAGGTTTAAATGAAGACTATTTTGTATTTATTTTTTCAGGCAGAAAATAAAACATTCCCATAATCCTATCCTTAAAAAAATCCCAAATAGACACGGATTGGCCTGCTAAATTTTCCAGCGTAGGTTCAGACTGTCCAAAGACTCACATCCCTGCATCTGCAGCATCATCCGACATATGACCTTTGCTATATGTCACCATCTCTTCTCTTGTCTTCCTCATCACTCTTTTCACACCATCTAATAAAAGCCAAAATGCCAACAATTACATCCTGTCTTCCACGCAAGGAAATTACAAGCCCATCTGCTGCTCTGATATTTCAGCTGTCATGCGCACGTTAAACAAGCTTTGGATAATATCTCGAAGTCTTTTTTCACATCACTAACTGCTTTCCTTGATTATCAGCTTTTGTTACAACACACCCTTGACATCTTCGCCTGCTTCTTGAAGTTGTATATCTCACCCCTTCACATTTTCCCTGACCTCCTTTTTGTTTTCTTGTTTTTGATCTGCCTCCTTCCTCCTCTTCCTCCTCCTCCTCCTCCTCCTCCTCCTCTCCTTGCTCCCTCCTCCCTGTAAGTAAATGCACTTTTTCGTCCCTCTTGTTTCTCCTGCACTCGCAGACACAAAACGTCTCGCACTCAAATTGGTCAGTGCAACATTTAGAGAACAACAACAGACAAAAAAAACAAAAAACAAAAACAAGCTGTATTCATTAAAGCAGAACATGTTTAAGCATTCCTCCACTGTTCCCCGGACGCTGACTTTTCCCGTCTGAGTGCCTTGTTGTTATTTCAAGCATGAAAATCAGCCTACAATCCTTGGAGAGAACTGTTTTTCCATTACAAATCAAATGTTGAAGATCTTGTACTGTCTTTGACTTTAATAAAAATACATTCTATTCTTCTGTTTCTGATTATCTTTGCGTCAGACATATCTGCCTCCCCGACAGCCAATAAGACTAAGACCAATGAGAACCTCCTCAATTCCAGTCGCCTTTCCACCTCAAACTGCAACAACATTTATCACCCTGAATCCAACTACTATCCATATACTGGATCTCCGAAAGGTACCTCTCCCTCTATTTACCAACCTGTTTCTACACAAATGCAACACACTGTACTGTACTCATGTGGATAAGCTGCACAAACTTCACCTAAAAGCTACCGAGAGAGCCAAATGACAGTTTTGACAGTTGTTTTAATTGAGTTTGTGGGTTTGATTTTCCCTTTTTTCTCTCCTTTGCTTATCATTTGCTCTCTCTCTCTAGTCTCCAGGGTGAGGAGATTTTCGTCTGGAGGAGAGGAGGATGGATGGAATCACAACATAAACAGGGTAAGAGAGGAAGACGTTCTCCTGCTTTTCCTTTTTATTTTTTAAGTGAGTGTTAATATTTAATGAGCCAGTTAATTAAATGCTTCTTTCCAACCCTCAGCCACTGGACATGATACAAAGTGATGCTCCTCTCTGCTTCTTTTTCCTCATATTCCTTCTTCTATCTGTCTAAACAACAATCGTCGCCTGTTTCCCGTCTCGACCTGCATTATTCCATCACTATCTATCAACTCATGCATCCATCCCGCTCTACCAACTCTTATTGCTCTGTCTATCTGTCCTTTTCTCATTCCTTCTACCCATCTCTCTATTTGTCCTCTATTTTTTTTTTCTTCTTTCCCCCCTCCTTCCCTACATGCAGGGAATTGGCAGGATGATCCTGAAGGAGGAGATGAAGGCACGATCAGGTTGTCACGACAATGACCAGTGGGGAAGCAGACGCAGTTCTCGCTGTAGCAGCAAGGAGACGCTGAACAATCTGGGCTACGGCTCCCTTAATGGATGTAAGTCTGTGTGTATGTGTGTTTGGTGTCTTCACTTCTCGAATATGTCAGTTAAGGGCGGATTTGCTTTTCCTAATTTATTTTGTTTACCACACGTTATTATTTGTGACAGTTTCTTAGCCCGCTCACGTTGTCTGTCTTAGTGCTCATCTGGTAAATCAGCCAGGGGTGATATATATATATGTATATATATAGGCTGCAGCAGATATATCAATATCAGTTTATGTGTCAGCCATCAAGTAATAAGAATTTGTCTTACAGCAATGCCAAGCTAAGTTTGAGGTCATTTAGAAACAGCACCACTATCACAAAGTTTGTTCACCAAAGAGCACTGAAATGTCCAACTCAGTGCGTATCTTGGTCACAATTAAAAAGATTTGGTTGATAAAATAATTACGAGCAGATTTAAAGTCCTTGATACAAATACATCAGTGCTCTGTTCAGAGATCCAGTATTGGTTTGTCTGTGCTGTAGCATGTTGCTGTGTTAACTGTTAAAAATCTGTTAAAATCTGTCTAAAAAAAAAAAAAAAAAGAAAGAAAGAAAGAAAAAATCAACAATTTCCCTGAGGTACCCTACCAAAGGGATCAATAAAGTTCTATCTAATCTAATCTCTCTCTAACTGTCACAATATTAATTTTAATGTGTAATACCTTTTGGAACAAAGTTTTTTAACTGGCTAAACTGGCTAAATAAAGAACAGGAAAGAAACTCTAAAACGCATCACAGCTCTTTAAAACCAGTTTGCATTCATGGCCAGGAGGCTTTAGGGACCACAGTGCCAGTCGATAATCTGAATGTTTGTTGATGCCCTCAATCACTCCAGTCTGAAATGTCTCAGGGACTGTTGGATTTGGGCAGGCATTAATGGTCCCCAGAGTGCCTGTGATGATCCTCTGATTTGTCGTATAGCAACATCGACAAGTCAACTTTTTCTATTGTTCAAATCATATCTACTAAACTATATTCTCTTATCTACCCACTGATGTATGTTAACTTTGGTGATCCTTTGATCTTTACTCTGTTTGCTATGAAGGATTACCATGAATTGGTAAACAGTCACATTCCCCTCAGGATGAGTTCTGATAACTTCTGATAATTTACTTTTTTTGACCAAATGTCTGCAAAGCTACAGAAACATCCATCCATCCATCCATCCATCCATCCATCCATCCATTATCTTTACACCGTTTAATCCTCACTAGGGTTGGCTAGGGGGGCTGGAGCCTATCCCAGCCGACTCAGGGTGAAGGCAGGGGACATCCTGGACAGGTCGCCAGTCTATCACAGGGCTACACTTAGAGACAGACAACCAAGCACAATCACATTCACACCTACGGACAATTTAGAATAACCAATTAACCTCAGCATGTCTTTGGACTGTGGGAGGAAGCTTGAGAACCCAGAGAGAACCCACACTGCACGAGGAGAACATGCCAACTCCACATAGAAACTGGGGATCTTCTCGCTGCAAGGCAATGGTGCTAACCACCGAGCCACCGTGCAACTGTGCAACCCCCTACTTAAACATGAAGGCACTAAACTAAGATGGTGAGCCTGACATTAAACCTGGTAAACATCAACATGTTGGTATTTTCAGTGTGCGCATGTTCGCATGCTGACATTAACACACAAACAGAGCTTCAAAGGTCAGCTAGCATGGCTGCAGACTGGTAGGCCCTGCTCACACCTGGCATTACCGTGCATCTTGGATGATTCAATCACAAGTGGACAGCTTTTAGTCCGTCATTTTACAATTGGCATTAGAATGTATCTTCACCTGCTTCTCGAGTGGCCACTTCCCTGCTCTATATGCAAATGAACACACCTATTATTTCCAGTTGAAAAGGCCCAATGCCAGAGTCCCGCACAGGTCCAATTTAGAAAACCTGTATCTGCCTGCACTCACATAGCTCAGTACCAGAACCAACACTTTACCCACAGTTATCTCCAAGTCCAGACCTGCTTCAACCTGCTCCTGCAACTCAGCAGCAATTTCCTATTTACAGTTGCTTCAAAACTGAGCAGCAAAACTGCTAACAAACACTTGGCGTTGTAAACACCTAAGTCCAGTCCTTGCTGAACTACACCGGCTCCCCATTCATTACAGAATTCAATTTAAGATTCTTTAGATTACTTTCAAACTTCTATATGCTCTGGCTCTTCTTGTCATCTCTGAACTTTTAAACTCTTATTCTGCATCTTGACCTTTGAGATCAGAGAACCGGCTGGAATTTTAAAATTCTACAGTCCAGGCTTAAAACACAGGGAGACCATGCTTTTACCTTTTCAGCTCAAATTATGTGGAAAAAGCGCCTTCTTACTGTCAGAAAAGCTCAGACAGTGTCTCTGTTTAAAAAAGAAAAAACAAACCTGAAGAGAAAGGCATTTGTATGTTTTTGACAAATTATTGTCTTTATTGTTGCTTTTTAATGTTTTATTGACAGTATTTTTTGTAAAACATCTTGTAACCCCTGTATTGAAAGATGCTATAGAAATAAAGGTTATTGTCCTTATTTCAAATCCTTCAACCAAACCTGCAATTAAAACCATTCACTACACAATCTTTCCCTTTAAAGTGCTTTATTTTCACTCAAACCTGCAAAATTTGCCAATAGCAGCCACAGACATGCAGGACTCCATGCCAAATGCATTGCTGCTTTTCGCTGGTGGGAGACTAAGACGGTAGGCATGCAAACTACTGAAAGAATGTGGTTATATGCAGCTCAGCCGTCTTCGAATGTGGATATCAACTCCCAGCTGTGCTTTGAGCTGATTAATGCCGGTCGTGAACAGGACATTAGTCTTGTTCGCAAACATAAAGTTACATATTTATGACTCATAAACACTGTCACAGTGTTTTAAGGTTGCGTCAGACTTGAGACTGTACTTTAAAGGCTGACGTATAGATCCGATTTTGGTTTTGGCTGCTGTGATTAAGCTGTGATCACTGAAGGTTAGCGGTTAAGAAATTAATATAGTCACCTTTATAGCAGCAGGAATATGTGGATCTGCTTGTGATGCCGACCAAGCCTCAGTGGAAGGAGTTCCCCACCTCTGTGTTAACTCTTCCATTGAGCCCATTCCTCATTGCATTCAGCATGTGTAAGGGCAAGACAAAGATGGAGAGAGTCGGAGAGAAAGAAAGAGAGAGACAGAGGGAGGGAGTGTGTTTAGGTGGAGGTCAAATGGGACTAAAAGAAAGGGGTGTTGCAACAGAAGAGACACAAAGAGAGCGAACACGATAGAAAGTGAATTAAATATAAGGGAGAGGGAGGGAATTAGAGGCTAAAGCAATTTGGAACTGCTCAGAGAAGATGTACGACATGAAGCCTACAGGTAAATCAGGGTCACGGAGTGGAGGAGAGAGAGTGAAATGAGGTCTGTGCACGGGGAGGTCAGGCTGAGAGAGGTGGGGATAATGTGTGTGTTCATCGCAGTGTAATCGCTGTGGGTTTATGGTGTCTGCTGTTATTATACTGATTAGAAAAAATTCTGACAGGTGTGCGCTTACACGTTTAATTCCAAAATGGGATGTGCATCATATCAGAAGTGACACGAACCCCTACAAAATAGCTGACACTTGGAGATTTCACTTGCCTGATTTGATTTGGTCCATAGCTGCAGATATATTACTGTCTGTCTGTCCATCCATCAGTTAGTTGGTCCACCACTTTGTTCAAGACGGAAATATCTCAGCAACTGTTGCAGGGATGGCTGTGAAGTTTTGAATGAATCCTCCTAAATTTGATGAGCTTGTGAGTTTTCTCTAGTGCCACCACTGGATCGGGTTTTGGCTTTTAGTGAAATGTCTTAACAAGAGGTAGATAACTTGCCTTGACATTTGGGAAACACATTTATATCCTCCTTCAGGAAGGTTCTGGGTGATTTCAGGTCATCGTGCCATAATTTCAATTTGCCCAGAGCTTTAGTTCATCACGAAGCAATCACGAACCAAGGTGGAAATCACAAATCACTTTGCAGATTTAAATCGGCTTCACAGTCATGGATTGCAGTTTGCTCATTTTTTTCTCAAAGATAAGTGGCACAATCATTATTCAAGTTTAATTTAGTTCAGTGCAAAACTGGCCTTTCTTATTCTTCACATAAGAGCACCACCTCAGCGCCTATGACTCAGAACAGAGATATCAGATTATGGTGATTTTTGATGAACTTTTCATGCATGATATAGTCATGCAGTTGCTAAAAGCTACGGATTTGTTCATTGACAATTGTGATTTTAGAAAAATCAGTTCAGTTGTAATATTTGTTGTTAAAAAATTGTTCTTAACTGCCTCAGTTGTACTTTTCCAATCAATCAGACTTGATTTTTTTCATACATGTAACACAAAATGAATTACAGAAGAAAAACAGTGCTAGCATGCTAAGCTAATATAAGCACTGCAAGCATTATACCTTCCAACCTGTTAGTGTTGTCATTATGAGTATCTTCCCATGCTTGTATTAGCATTAAGATCGCAGTACAGCATCACAGAGCCGTTAGCAAAACTTGTTACATCATTATCGCGTTAAAATATTGAAATATATAGGAATTTTTTTTTTTTAATTAAATATCTATTTCTTATGTTATTTCCAGATTCCAGCACCTACAGTATAATGTGTGTGTCCATGTATGAGAAAAATCACCACATGAATCTCTAGATGCAGTGCAGTCCATTAAAATTATGAAGTGCACCGGTTGCCATAAACATATACATTTTTAACATGAGTGGCCCGAGTATAAACCCTGATGCTGCGTGGCTGCACCCTCGGTGCTTCATATTTTATATGATGTGTAGGTCTTGATGGTGATTATGCCTGCATGTTGATGCTGTTAGGGACACATCCTTGCACAGCTGATGTTTTATGGATGTTCCAGAACAGCTGGCTTTTTTTTTTCTTCTTTTTTTTAAATTTCCCTTCCACTAAAAACTTTTACTGTGTGGTAGATTTATTAACCCCACTTAACACAGTCTCACATACTACACATGTTTATATCCTGCAGGCACCAACACCAATATGCGTGTATCCACACTCAGAAGGGGATCAGACCAGGAGATCAGCTGATATTTAAAATTTATAAGAGTAGAGCTACTGTAAAAGAAAAAAAGAAAAGAAAAGAAAAGAAAAGGGCAGCAACACTGTTGTAGCTTTAGGCTGTTGGTTTTACAGAGCAGGTAGATGTGTTGGGGGGAACAACTACAAATTCTTCATGGAAGGTACTTACAGGTATCTGCTGATGATAAATGCTTGTGAGGAGGAGGACATCCTAATATTTGTAGCAATTATGTCCCACAGAATGAGTTGTCTCTAATTTTGTCTATGAATTTTTATATTAAATGTTTGTATTCACTGCGTTGTGTTAAATGTTTATACATGTGTATGTTTTATACCTGATCAGCATTACAGTTTGTATATTTTAATGTATATACAAACAACTTTTGATTTCTTTAGTTGTATGATATGTTTAATGGATGTCAGTGCATGCCTGGTGTTCTCTAATGTGAAGGACTTATCCTCTGATTAAATTTTACAAATCTTTGTGGAATTGTTTTTAGAGTTTTTTCCAGTTATTGTTTGTTGGATCCATTTACTGGGGACAACAATCGTTTTTTGACACTATTTTATCATTTCTATGCTATTTTTGGGCAAACGATTCCCTGACATAAAGTTCTTGTGAAGGCAAAGTTCTTGATGTACATTATTGGGACTTAAGACAAATGACTTCTGAGAGATCTTGTTGTTTTCAGGGTGTGAAATTGGTGTAACAGAAATGTCCTGTGCCCCCTCCCCTCCGTCTCTCTGTCCACAGCTCCCAGGTCTATCTACAGCGCAGACAGCGGTGAGTGGTTCATCGATGTGTTTTGATCCTTGTGTTCATCCCACGGGGGCGACGACACAGCTAGCCGGCTTCCCCGTTATCTCCTTCATCCTGTCGGTTCTGCTGTGACAGCAGCAGAGCCTTAAGTGGAAGATTATTATCAACTCACACTGACACAAACACCTCTATCTTTTGGGTTTCAGGTGGGAAGATGAATGGTGCTGTAGCTAAGACCTGTATTTACCAGCTTTTTTTTTTTTTTCGAGGCAGCACTGATTCAGGGTCACTTACCTGAGGTCCTCAGCCATCTGTTTTATAACCAGTTGTTGCACATTACACTATATTATATGTGATTTCTGGCCATAAAAATACAACTTTGTGTGATTATATTAACCGCATTCTCCTTAAAATCTATATAATGCACCTCCTGAGCCATTCTCTCCACTTCGCTGCCTCCTTCATTGTGGATTTTAGCTCACTAACATTTCAACTTGGCCTCCAGATTAGTCTGCATCCAACTGCATTCTAATAATGATGCGAAACTTCCACCGAAACCTTTCCTATGAGGATTCAAATAGCAGAAGTTATTATCGAGCAACACTTGTACAACAAAAATAGTGCTGAATGAGATGCTTAGGCTAGTAGTTTTCCCACTGTGTGGCATCAGGGCACAATTTGATGAAACAACTATACACCGTGACTATTCTATGAGACTGTATCTCATTTCTTGTTGAGACAGACAGTAGAAGACAAACTCATTATAGTTTAACATCTCCTGGAGATGTACAGTAGCTCTACATCCCGACCAGTATTCTGCTGCATCATGGTGTTTCGCCCCGGCTCTTTGACATCGCTGTGTAATTTAATTCCCTTCAACACCAGAGAGAACAAGAGAGAGAGAGAGAGACTGAAAGGGACAGAGCAAGAAAACAGGGAGGGAGGGAGAAAAACAGGAGGGAAGAATAAATGACTGAGGAAGAATCAATGATGAAGCCAAGAAACAAAGACAGCGAAGAGGAGGGAAGTGAAAGTGGACGAGCCAGACAGCAGTGACATTAGAGGATCCTTGTAACTGTGCTGCCCTCTGCTGCTAAAGTTACAGCAGTACACACAGCAAGCGATAAGCCTGCTGGAGGATGCTGACAGTTACCATCGGTTACGAGGAAGAAAAAGATGGAGATGGATGTTAATATTAACATATAAAATCCATCCATCCATTATCTATACACCGCTTAATCCTCATTAGGGTCGCGGGGGGGCTGGAGCCTGTCCTAGCCGACTTAGGGCGAAGGCAGGGGACACCCTGGACAGGTAACCAGTCCATCGCAGGGCCACACTTAGAGACAGACAACCAAGCACACTCACATTCACACCTACGGACAATTTAGAATCACCAATTAACCTCAACATGTTTTTGGACTGTGTGGGAGGAAGCCGGAGAACCCGGAGAGAACCCACGCTGCACGGGGAGAACATGCAAACTCCACGCAGAAAGATTCCGGTGTCGCCACTGGGACGTGAACCGGCAACCTTCTTGCTGCGAGGCAACAGTGCTACCAACTGCCACCCTGCAGCCCAACATATAAAATGTTTATCTTAAAAAAAACAGGAATCATTGTGTGTCAACATGTTGGGTTGCAAATGTTTCGTGTTTCCGCAGGTACCTTTAGGTCTCATTTGATCCCAGACATCAAAACAACTAATATCTAAATTGAATTAGAAGTTGTCTTAATCCACAGGTGAGGTGCCTCCAAAGTCAGTCTGATTTTTCTGATCTCTGTATGATTGAACCTATGTTTCTACACAGGAGTCCTTCAGGCAGGTATTCAGAAACTAGCGGTTGCCATGAGATTCAAACAGCAAGCGCAGTATGTGACAAGAATACTTCTGCTTTGAATTCTTGTACCGAGCAGTTGGAATTGTTCCCCTGGTGTGATGTTCTTACAGACTGGAGGACAAAGATGAATGAGAGGCCTTTTTGTAAAATCTTTGCACAACATGAGTATAAGACAGTGTTGAGGTGTTGTGAAGTGGATCAGGGCTGGGTTGGAAATGGTCTCTAAACTCAGTAAGCTTTTCCTAATAGAACAAATAATCATAAATACCTGAAAATAGCCAACCAGGGTTTAGCTGGATGATATACTGTATGTGCCACAGTTAGTGTTTAGGTCGGGGTGAGTGTTGGAAAAGGACCCAAATGTAGACACCAGAAATGGGTTGCAGAAAGTAACTAAAGAAAACTTTAATCAAATTTTAACTGTTAACAAATGCAAGAGAGCAAATAGAAGATGGTTTAATGTCCGAGAACTAAAAGTCCATAACATAAAAACTAAATCCAAAGGTACAAAAACTCAGCCCAGGCAAAAACCAAAGGGGCAGGGAGAACATGAGGAAAGCAAACAGGCAGGCAAACACAGGAACAACCAGGGTGCAAAAAAACTGAATGTACAGACCAAAAACAGACTAGGAGAGTCAGGCAGGTCAACATGAGGAGGCAAACAGGACGAACTGGCAAAGACAGAGGGGACAAGACTTTATACTGAGAACTGATCAGAGAGATGAGAAACCAGTGACTCAGGAGACACAGGTAAAACTAATGAAGGCCATCAAAAAAGGAGGGAAGCATTAACAAAGGGAGGAAGTAAAGGCACAAGCAACACACAAGGGAAAATGATATCAAAATATTATCGGAAGTAAACAAAATCAAAACTCAATGGCAGTGTAGACATGAATTAAAATAAAAACACATTTACTTTACCAAACATTTTCTTACTATCTTGAACAAATTCGACACTTGGACAATAAAGCTCAGGGTAAAGTTCATTTTTATCTATTTTTCCCCATCTACAAACCCTCTCTCTTCAGTGGCAGAACACATTTAATTAACCACTACAGTGAAAATCTAGTTTTTTTTACTTTGTTATCATGTTTATTTGATGCTTTTTTTATGTACAGAAAGACAAATCTTGAGCAAAATATGTAGTCAACATCATGGCTGATTTTTTTTCCACCTTGAAACTCCATTGTAACAATAGTAGTCTCAAAAATGTGGGTTTAGACAAGACATTACTTACTTGCAGGGTGGGACTGTGTAGCATGTAGCTGCTTTCCAGTGTTTGAGCAGAGTCATAGTTGAGCTGGTGTGTTTGAGCTGCAGTTAGTGGTGCAGGTTTGGTGAAAATTAGGCAGTTGATCTGCATAGTCAAGAGGACGCCATGGTGTAGAGTAGCGTTTTCCTGACAATAAATAAATGAATAGTTAACTGAGGGCTGCAAGGTGGAGCAGTGGTTCGCACCGTTGCCTCGCAGCAAGAAGGTCGCTGGTTCGCATCCTGGTGAAGACACCAGGATCTTTCTGCGTGGAGTTTGCATGTTCTCCCCGTGCAGCGTGGGTTCTCTCCAGGTTCTTCCTCCCACACAGTCCAAAAACATGTTGAGGTTAATTGATGATTCAAAATTGTCCGTAGGTGTGAATGTGACTGCGTATGATCTGTCTTTAAGTGTAGCCCTGTGATAGACTGGCGACCTGTCCAGGGTGTCCCCTACCTTTGCCCTAAGTCGGCTGAGATAGACTCCAGCCCCCCACAACCCTTGTGAGGATTAAGCAATGTATAGATAATGGATGGATGGATATTTAACTGTGATGCATTGGGACTTTTTTGGGTTTAAATCAACAGCCAGAGAGGGACTCTAAATTCTATGTGGAGTTTTATCTGGAGATTGTCCTACATGTCATCTTGCATGTGACAATATTCAAGAATGTGCAAGATTGTAGAGCACATTCTTCTTAAATAAATAAAAATCACAAAAGGTGCCATAAACAATAGAAAAATGCTGCACTCCTGTTTATAATGTGAGTGTGTGTGTATTAGTTTGCATAGTTCTGGTGTTTGTTTACGGTTGTGCGCTTATGTTTGTTCTTCCAGACTCGTACATTGCCAAATCGGCCTCGTTGCCAGGCTACGGGAGGAATGGACTGAACAGGGTAAGCAACTATGATTTCTAGCGAGTGTGTGTCTATGCTTGCATTACTCATGTTGCAGAGACTTGCCTCCTTTTTGGGGGACAGAAAGCAAGTATCCATAACGTAAATGATTAGACTTTATGATAAAGATTTGATTGAGGTTTAGGTTAGGCTTAGTAAATAATGGTTAGGGTGAATACAAGCTAGTATAATGTCCTCTGAAGTGATGGAAACACAACAGAGAGAGTTGCAGAGAAAATAAGACAGATGTAGTCATTCACTGGAATATATGGCAAAGTCCTTCATTTGCTGCTGAACCTGAAACTCATTTGTATCAGTTTGTTTCCTGAGGCCAAGTAAGACAAGTGGCAAGATATTGCCATTATATCAGTGTGACAAATTAGACAGAACACCTCACTGATTTAAAATGTCTGTCTACTTCGCTATATCAAGATTGAATACATGTTTTCCGACCATGTTTTCCTGAACTGCTCTTGTTGTGTTCCAGCAGCCCGGGAGCGCAGCCGCAGATTACTACCAGTACGACAGCAGTAACGCAGTTAATTGGCAGATCAGAGGTAAGCCTATTGCACAGCTTAAATCTGCTTATCCCAATTTCTTCTAGTTTTCTCTTGATTTACCTCCCCTCTTGATGCACGTAACTTGAAGTGTGCTGTATGTATTAATGAAAATGCAATGTCAGTGAATGCATGCCACACAGGCAAACATTTCCTAACACATCACCATATTGTCTTTTCTCCCTTTCTCTCAGAATACAAGGTAAGATGCAGATGCCTGTGCTGGAGGACTGTTGCCGAGCCTAGAGTGAAAGATCTAGATCAATGAAAATAGATAAGAATGATGTGTTCCTGAATCCATCTCCGCCGGTAACACCCACTTTGTGAAGCTGACTGACTCATTTTATTGACAGCGAAATGAATAAACAAACACTTCACAAACAGCTTCACCACTTTATAGTGGAAACTCTTTCCCCAAGTCTCCCTCTATTAAGAAGACAGAGAATAACAAGAACCATGTCAACACACAAATGAGATTTTTCTTTATCTTGCATAGACAGATCTCTCTCCACAGCACTTTGTCAGTGCTGGAGAGTGATTTTTCTCAATCTTTTTCTCTGTCAAGTCTTCAAGCAGAGACACATTGTCCTTTTTATAAAGCCTCTTTATAAAGCCTTAACTAAATGTAACAGTTTCGACATTTGGCAACTAGAGGGAGACAAAAATGTTTAAAAAATGGTCCATGTGTCTGGTGCTGATCCACACAAATATAAACTGCATTACTAGTATTTTAAATGCTGGACAAAAACATATTTTTAACAACTTCAAGCAAACCAACCTCTGAATCGAATCCACATGTTAGCTGAAGCCTCTATAAGGCAATCTGGTGAGAAAGGTTTGTAAGAAAGGCAGCTGTAAATGTAAATATTAAAACAGCACCTCTGTGTTGGTCATATTTTCTCGCTGTCAGATCTACCCATATGAAGCCCTGGTGGTGTCAGTCAGAGGGCAGCAGCGTCTCCCCAGTGACGTGGATCGAGCCAGACTTGAGGTAAACTGCTCCAGGACAAAATGTCCTTGAATCACTGCTTTTAATGAAAGCATTTAGTCATTGAAGAGCGAAGAAAACCAAAAAGAAAACAACTAAAAAGGTGCAATTTTCTTTGCAATCCACAATACAGATGTTGGACAGTATACCCTGTACAGACTCTTTCTTTAAGCACTTCCAATGTTGACTGCTAATTAAATGACCATAGCTCCAACAATAACTTGCTGTGGACTGTAGTGTTTAATGGGCAGACTGGTCAGTCGACGAGCATAGCAGCTGAAATGTTATGCTCAGTGTCTGCAGCGGCTGTAGAATGTCTGCCGACTGGCTTATGTTGTAGAGAAAGTGATGACAGGTACAGCCTCATTGTTTTTCTTGCTGGCGAATATAACATACCTCCAGTGTTTATGATCGACTCGTTTTCTGACCTTCTCTCTTTCTTCCTCCCCACAGCGCCACCTCTCACCAGAAGAGTTTTACAGAGTCTTTGGCATGTCCATGTCCTCCTTTGACCGTCTTGCTCAGTGGAAGAAGAATGAACTGAAGAAACAAGTCCGACTCTTCTGAGAAATCAACAGATCCGTCTGATCAAGTGCAGCTTCCACAAGGGTTTACTGACCTCAGCTCATGTCTGCGTCTCGGTGGAGGGCTGAGAACTGGACAAAATAAATGTTTTTCTTCCCTTGAGGTGGTAGAAGGAAAAGAACTGTTGGCTGCCTCTTCTTGGCGCGCTGTGGGACTACTTAAGCAATACGGATGGAGTCAGCCAATTGGGCCAAACTGGGGGGAAAACTGCATGAGTGGAAGAAGAATGTGGAGGGAGAGCACAGAGCTGCACGGAGGACAACAACTCCCTACCAGCAGATGGCAGCGTGTTAACATGAGCAATATGGTTGCTGCTATGCTGAGATGCTTTGTACCAAACTGAATCTGCCATGCTTAGTGAGGGAGATGGTTTGTGAAGGACATCTGGTTGGAAGACAACAGAAAGGAGCCAGTCAGACAGACACTGCCCTCAGCAACTTATAAACTGACAGGACCAGTGAAGAAGCACTGTGTGATCCTCAACATTAGGGTTACTGAACACGATATAATGTGCAAACACTGAAAACCAAATGTTTTCTCCTGCTTTTTTTTTTTTTTTCAAACTGTGTGTTTACTTTTGATGTCAGTTTTTCTGAAGCCATATCAGTGTTTAGACTTCTTTTTTATGACATGAGCAGACTGTACAGTTCACTGATGTTTGTTTTGAAATATGATGTGATGTGAATGAACTGTGTCGCGGCTCAGAGCTCAGAGCAGTTAAGTTTAGAAACAGGGGCTTAGTACTGCACACTTGACAATAAGATGATTGTGCTCCACTTATTTTATTTGAAGAAATCAAAGTTTTGGTCTATTCAGACTTGCAGCTGCACTCGAGAAACATCATAGAATTTCAGTGGCTGGATAACAATTAAACCACCAGACTGAATCGTGTTTGCGCAGTTTAATGTGTGTGTGTGTGTAATTACAGCAAGTGACTAATAGGAGGATATTCAGTAGGGATCTGAAGAAAGGAAGGGATTATGAAGGAAATTAAGGAAACGGAATGGGGTGGAATGTGCAAAAGGGATAAACAGAGATACAAGGGGAAAGAGAAAGAAAGAGTTAACAGGTATCATAGAAGGAAATTGGAAAAAAAAAAGATTTGTGTTTGTGATAAACAGGTGGAAATATCGCCTGAGCAGAAATAGATTTAATAGAAAGAAGGTGAAAAGAACGAGATGAGTCAGTCCATGTGCAGGAGTGTTGTAACTGAGTGTAAAAGGTGGAATAATGTGCTGTTTTTACAGGGACTGAAACCGTGCGGAGTGTGTTTGTGAGTATAGTATGTATGTGTGTGTGTGTGTGTGTGTGTGTAGGTGTGTGTGTGTGTGTGTGTTTACAGTTTGCAACAATAAATCACATTTACCACGCTGAGTGTTTACGGAACTACAAACTAACTTATGTTTTGATTTATTGGAATTCCCATTTGTCATTTTACGGCCCCGTGTCTGTCACTCCAGCTTCTGAATAAATGATTGAATGATTTTCTATTGTTGCCGCTATTAATTTTCCTAAACCGTGAGTGTACATGTTGGTGATGGATGGAGGGCATGGTTATTTGTTCCATTTTTTACTTTTTGGTTTAGGGGTTACTGGGTCAGCAGGATCTTAGAAGGACTGAAGTATTTCGCCCAAATGTATAAGGAAACATGCAGTGTCATTAGTTTAATTTTGAGCTGTAATTGACTATAACTTGCAAATTAATCAAAGGCTTATCTCTTGATTGCTTTCACCTGCATTTCTTTTAATTCTAAATGTTCAACACAATAATTTTTATGGGCCAGAGAGTTTACAGAGCTGCATCCTTATTGTAGAAAATAAAAGAATCTGATCCCCCCAAAAAATGGGGGGGAAAGTCAAGAAATATTAAGGAACCAAATGGCACACTTGGCCAAAAACAATTCTAAGGTGTCAATCATAGAGCAGATGTTTGGAACCCTGTTAGAATATAATCCCTCAGAATAAACAGTTTTTACAGGTTAAAATACAAAATATCTCATGTAATGTCCCTTTGCACTTAACATGTCTTGCTCTCTTTTGGGAAGACATTATATGATTTACTGCACTAATCTTCTGGTGAATTACACAAGGTTGTATTGAAGTCATGTCAAAAGTTGAAAATTGATTGTTTAAGCTATTTTTTTTAGTATGGTTCTTTGACTCCAAGTTTGGTCTTTATCCATGTTTTGGTGTTGAGCAACACATATTGTAAGAGTTTAGAAGATAAATGGTCCAAACTACTTAACAATGTGTTTCTCATTCAGCCATTCACGCACATGCTGCCATGCAAGATGCTATTCTGTACTTAGCTTCAGCTTCTTGCCCAGGGACACTTCAACACATGAAGGGGATCCAATTTCTTGCTAACATATATGACTAAGTCCCAATCACAACATTCTATCCAAAATACCAAAGGCTACCCTATTTGTCCGATATAAAATCATAATTTTGCATCTTTAGGATGAATCAACAAACAAACTGGACACTCAAGAAGTGGTATTCAATCTGTTATAAAGAAATTTGAGAAACTAAAGAGTTGAAGGAGGAGAAGACTGTTATGCTATGACGAGAGTTTCTTCTTTGAGAGACTTGAAGAAGACTGGAAATGAACTTGCTCAGCATCTGGCATCTTTCTCTGGATGCCAAGCTGATTCTTCTACAGTCCAGAGATGTTTGATCAGGAATGGCCCCTGTGGAAACCACTTTTTTGGAAAGGGAAATCAGCTGAAGGGCTAAAGCTCACAGAGGCTGGAGTGAAGATCAATGAAAAAGAATTCCATGGAACAATCAATCAATCAATCAAGTTTGAAAACATTCAGGTCCAGTCATTGACAATATGTGAGATGATGAGTTACAAGAGGGATGCTTTGGCCTTCAATGAAACATGATGAAGGGTTTTCCATGATTAGGGACTGCATTTCTGCCAGTGCTGTCGGGGATGTTGTCTGAACTGATGGAATTATGAATGCTGAAAACTACAGACACACTTTGATTCATGATGCTACTCCTTCTGGAAAGTGTCAGATTGGAAACAGGTTTACCTGTCAGCATGACAGTGATTCAAGGCACACCACTAATGCAGTGAAATCATATTTGGAGGGGGAAAAGCACAGCTGATAGAACACTGACAGTGATAGACTGGCCTTCACAGAGTCAAGAGAAAAAACAAAAACAGACCAAGTCTGAAGAAGAACTTCTTCAACGTTCCCATGTAGTGTTTGTGTCTGAGTCTTATCAGTGCATCAAATGGGCCCTAAAGTTGCCTCAGAAGAGTCACCAGCTGTAGTCAATTGTAACCTCTTACAAGAAGGTCAAGGGCCATGTCATTTGGACAATTTGATTAACACAGCTTTCTACATCACCCAGAATGATAATTCACGGTGCTGTATGTATATTTTTGACCCAACAGATTTTGTCATTCATACAGATGATGTGTAATAAATCTTTAAAGGAACCAAAATGCATAATTGTTTTTGGTACACATTTCTCTCAATTATTCTATCATAAAAAATTAAGAGTTGTAGGAACCACTGGAAACTCAAGACTCTCATAATTTACATGACTTTTGTTCCCAGCTATATATTCTTATATAAAAATCCACACATGCCTATTTTCTACTGTCTTACTATTCAATCATCTTACCCCAAAACCATTCGATTTGATTTTCTCATACCAGTAAAATGATTTCAATACAATTGAAAGATTAGTAAGTCCACTATCATTCAAGAAAAGACCTGAAATAAAAACTGACCATTGCCAGAAGGGCAAATATGCCAGTGGTGATAGTTGTGAGGAGGCGTCTTACCTTGGTTTATCTTACTGTATGTAATTTGTATTTACTTCATTACCTCCGCCAAGGAGCTTATGTTTTAGCCCGTGTTTATCTGTTTGCTTGTTTGTTTGTTGGTTGGTTGGGTTGTTTGTTTGTTTGTTAGTAAGATAACTCAAAAAGTTATTAACAGATTTTCATGAAATTTTCAGGAAATTATGATAATGGCACATTGAACAGATGATTAAATTTTGGTGATGTTCTGTTCCATCTGCTTATTCTCTCATAAAACAGTAAATACTGTTAAGTGTCACGGTCCGCAGAATGTTGTCGTTGTGCCCTAGGAGCTCTAACTCCATTCAGTCCTCAGTCCTCACCGCGGTCTTCTCAGTAGAACAGTGGCAAGCTGCAGCCAGGCAACATGACAGGAGTGGGCTGAGCGGAGCTACTGACAGATAAGTTCAGAACGACGTTGTGACGTAAACAATGACTCAACATGTCTCCTGTTTCACTTTAACATGTGTCATGACGACTGACGTGCTTCCTTGCATCGGTCATCATTTACATTTACCTTGCATTGCTAAAGTTGTGCTAACCTAGCTTAAATTACTCCCTGTCTGTTTATGTTAGCAATAACGTCGCTGTAGTTATGCCAGCCTAGCATAGTGTTAGCTAACAGCTTAAAAGACAGTAAGTAACTCCAGAAATAACATAAGTGTACAAAATATTTGACAGGTCATCACTCCGTCAGTGTGTTATTAATGATATCAATGTTAATTCAAATGCCAAAGGTATGTTTTGATTATCTTTGAATCTAATAGTGTCGATAAAATGAATGCAGGATTTTATCACTGGCTGAAAATCGCAATATGGTGGAAATGAGCTGTTTGGCGGAGGTCTGCGCTCTCAGAGTGCTTTTCTACTTTCAAATATAAAATTGGAAATGTACAATAAAGGTATTTTTTTCATTTTTATTCATTTTATCTTTAACATTACACTTTCTCAAATCACTTTAATGTTTGTGACTTCTTTGACAGATTTTTAAAAATGTGAATCGACTCGCACTAGGACCCGGTGGAGCCCTGGCCGGTGGCGGAGCAGCCGCCGCGTCCAGCTGTAAACTGTAGCCGCCGCTGTGAGTCACTCGGCCGCACGGAGAGCGACGGAGCTCCGCTGTGTCTGTGGAGAACACGTTTCACATGTACGGAACTTTTAAATGAAGCCACGACGGGATTATTGCTGGAAACAAGTTGGGTGGCACAGACTTTAAAAAGAGCCAGGCATGGACTCCAAACGCCAAAGTGGTGAGTAACAGTCTCTTCTTTATCACAAACACTCATGTTTAGTACAGTAACTGTGTGGTAACTTTAGGATGAAGCCTCCGTAGACATAAAGGACACTAAAGTTAATTTAACATGTAAGGAGAAGTCACATTCAGGGACCTAAACCGAATAAAATGCGGTGAAAAACATCAGAAATGTCATATTTGAGACTCAAAAGTTATTATAAGGAATAAATGATGCAGTACGATTTGACACGAACGTGGTTTTATAGTTGTTATTACAGCACGTGAATGGAAACAGCGTCAGTGTGTAGTTTCTGTGACTGAATAAACCGAGTAGTACGCGCCCTGCTCCCGATTGACTGCTGGAGTAACGCGAGAGTGATGTCATCCACGACGCTGGTGCGCTGCGTGCGTGCGCATGTGTGTGTGTATGCGTGTGCGTGTGTGCGTGGATGTGGATGGAGGAGGTATCCTCAGGTAGAGTGATGCAATCTGATACCAACACAGAAGTGCCCTGTTGGAAGCTGCGCTGCTGGAGGGGAAGCAGCAGCAGCAGCTGAATGGCTGCTCTGTTTGGACGCCTTCAGGCCACAGTGCTGCAAACAGGACGCTGCTTTATGTGACACCAGGTGATGAAGAAGTGGCCTAATTTGAAAATCTGGCAACCGAGGATCACAAGTGGTTTCTGAAGTAAAATCAGTGAGCAAGTCCAGAGCAGAAAATTAGTTAAAGGAGGGAACATTTATTTAATTACATGCCATCATATTGAGGAGATTTAACTGCTTTTTACACCTAATATTGAGGCATAGTGTGAATTTACATCCAAAATATTATAAACAGGTAAGTTGAGATTTTTTTAAAAATTGTCAAGGTAATTGTAGTTTTAAATTGTGAGTGTATTATCTTGGAAATAACATTAAAGTATCTTATCTTCCTGACACTGCAGGCTTCTACCAGACTACTGGGTGCCATTATGTAGCATTTTTTCAATAAAAAAAAAAAAAAGAAAGAGAGAGAGTAAAGAAATTCCCAGTCAAATAAGACATTTTTGCATTTCCATTTTTAAACATATATGTTTTGTGCGACTTTGGCTTTAGTACAGACACCGCTCAAGCAGTTGTCCCGCACATCATAAGCAACAGTCGGTACACGCTGAAGGATAAATGTTGAAAATGAATGTTGTCTTCCAATTAAACATGTATGTAAAACTTTTTTTTAAAAGGTATTTCAACAGTTTTGTTTGTGTTATTTTAAATTTTGACAACAAAATTCTTATTTTTACCTGTTGACCTCTACACCCAATGGCACAATGTTTTCTCAGATCAGCCTATTTTTAATTTACAGCAGTGATGTCATCCCTTCTAATTATTATAATCATACTGTGATTATAGTTATGACATTGTCCATTATAACAACTGTAATTTAGTCAAAGTGCTTTCTTTCTAATGACTGCACTTACATTACAACATCTACTCAGTGTGTCATTCTTCACATTAGACCATATAATATTATTTTTTGGGTTTTTTTTTTCACAGCAAACATTTCGAGTTGTCATAGAAGGAGAAGTGCAGGTGTTACTAATAAAATGAACAATGCCCCTTTTCTGTTCTAGTGACCCTGTAAGCCTCAACAGTGTGTCAGAGAGTCAGCATGCATGATAATAAGACTCTAAAACGGAAGCAGCTAAACAGAATTCAGTCATTATTAACTGTATTATTGAGACCTGTGCTTTTCCTACTGTCACATGTCAAAATGTGTTTGGGAAAAAAAAGCTACACATGGAATGCAGAGACACAAACAGCTTATACATAACCAAATTGTCTGTGCAGCTGTGCACTCTAGGAGAAAATATTCTCTCAGTGGAAAAAATGTGGGTAATTGATATTGGAGTTTTGGCAAAATTGTGCAACTGCTGCAACAACTGGGAGAAATTTGGACAAAGCAGAGATAGAACAGGGGCAAAGTTTTCATACAGTCTGGACTTTAGTTTTTTATTTTTTTTAATTAACTTATCCCCTCAGTACTTTTACACTGCATGCATACAGATGTGACTAATTGCATTTGTGCACTCATGCACAGTCATTCTATTTATCTCTGTTTAATTTAACTGTCACAAGCCTTGACCTCAACCATGGTTCCCTTACATTTCCTTTTCCCTTTTCCTCCTCTTCTTTCATTTACTCCCACCCTCCTCCCACCCCACCCAACCCCTCTTTCAACTTTCTTTCAGAAAGTGCACAATTCTCTCTTGTTTAATTTCAAGCTATATTTCATATGGTATTATAAATTAACCTCCATTAACTGAGGAATTTCCATGGTACAAAGTGGGAGTGAGCTACGCTGCAAATCTGCTGCAGTTAAACCTTCTGCATCACAAGTATAACAAAGCAGCAGGTCAGCTGATGTGATGATAACAGTCCTTTCTACCAAACAGGAAAAAAACTGCAGATCATGTTTTGTTCTCACACTCGCTGGAAAAGCTGTCACAAAACACAATTATCACCCCGTAATCTTTGGGTGGGTGTATGTTTGTGTACTGGTTCATGCGTGTGTGAGAGGGAGAGTGATGACAGCAGCAAAATGTGGTTTGTCTTTTGTTGTAATTTAAGATCGTATATTCATATACGATGGGTTCATTACATTAATTAGTTAATCAAGAGAAAACTGACTAATTCCACTAAATTGCAAATATGTCAGGCACTTTACCTTTAAAGTTACAATGCGTTTTTACACCTCAGACCTGAGAGTATTATCAATCTTCTCATTTAGCTCTTGGCAAGAAAGAACTGAGCATAATTCTCAAGCTGCCTTAGCTTTCAGATGGATTATTTTTCTGATAAACAAAGTCATTTTCACACCAGCAACTAATTTTTCTTGTTAAGCTACTTAGGCAAGGCATGTGACATCCACCACAGTGGCTTTTCCAAGGCCTACAGTGGCTGAAAGACTCCTTACCTGTTTGGTGTCACCTGGTGAAACCGCTGTACTACAGCAGTTTTAAGTTAAACTCATGCTGCACCACAGTGTCTCAGGCACGCCTCTGTTTCTTTGCCTCCTCACTATTTACTATCTTCGGAAAGTGATAAGATACCGAAAGAATGCGAAAACGAGAGACTTCCTTGACTGTTTTGCCCCAGCTGTTTCTTTTTAAAGCTCTCCCCAGCTCGGATTTGGACTTTCTAAAGTGTCCTACTGACTACTAACCCCAGGCAAGCAGTGACACATCTAATGTTGTCACAAAAATATGAATTACTGGATGCCGGATTTCTGAAGCAGACTTTTGTCTGCGAGGGAGCTGCTGGGGCCGCCAAGCCTTGAACTCTGACCTCCGTCTGAAGAGGATGGGTGTCTGGAGAAGGGACGAATGGAGGAAAAGGAGTTAAAAGGAAAGGATATGTAAGGGGGGGGGCGAGAAAGAAAGGAGTGGAAGGGAGAATATGGGATCTGGAGGGACCTCAGTCTCTGGGACTGTGGGGGAGGCAGGAAAAGGACGGAAGAGTAAAATTGCAGCTTCACACACTTTGAAAGCCTGAAATTGTCTTTACTTAAACGGCATGAAAAGCTTATGTTTGTGTCACATAAGTGTCTTAAAGCATTTCTGTCACAGATAATCATGCGCCTCAGGCAACATAATTGATGGAACAATGCATTCATTCATTCATCTGGCAAAATTGTGCAGGCAAAATTATAAGTAGGAAGGGATAGTTTGGATGGGAGAGGTAAGAAAAGAGCAGGTTAGCTTTGGATTTGTCTTGATTGATGGGTTAGACGTGTAATAGATGGGAATAAAAGCCTCAGGTTAGGAGGACAGAAGTTTCTTTCCGTCCGACACCCTGCGGCCCATAAGCATTATGTGGCAAGATAAACGGCAGCAGCAGCCAGTAGGAGTTGTTTTGTTCTGAGCTGCAACCAAACACACTAAATCAGTTCAAATGAGAGTCGCATGGCCCAGGTCTCATGACTGACCTTCTTCAGGAAGTCCGTCTGCGGAAACACACAAAAATGTATGTAAAAGCGCACACACACAAACACATTCTGCTCTTGTGACCTGTAAGATAAGTAAGCAAGAGACAGTGATTGTGTGTGTGTGTGCTCTGTGTGAGTTACGCGACTGTCTGTGTCCTTCAGTAGGAAAAAAAAAACTGAAGAGGAAATTTGCACCGTGTGTGTGTGTGTGCGCGTGTGTGTGTGTGTGAGGAATGGGGGGTTACAAAGATCCTTCTGTGGGTGAGACCGACCACAAGTCTCCAGAACAGCTGATTCTCAGCCTCTGAACCCTCCGGTCCCCGAAGAGAGAGGCACAGAGAAAGAGAAAGGGAGAGAGATGTACATGGAGGAGAGAGAGAGAGAGAGAGCGGGACAACAAATGCACTCATGGCCTTGACGGCGTAAAGTTAGACATTGAGAAACAGAAAATAGACCAAAGGCTCAGTCTGAAACTCCATCAGCCGTCTACTGGCTTTGTTTACACTGATTACACAGAGTCTTTAGTCTGAGCTACCACAAGTAAAGTAGATCTGTAATTTAAGTGTGCATCCGCTGACGAACTTCATTTTGAACATGAGGCCTAAGAGAGAGTTTGCAATGACTGAAGATGTTGGTGTAGTGTCAGAAACAGCATGATGCAGAGAAATAGAAAAAGGGAAAGAAGAAGAAAGAGAAGGTGAGGTGAGGCTCGCAGTAGGATGGAGAAGAGTGTCGGGATTGGGAAGGAGCGGAGGAAAGCTTCTGTCGACAACTAAGACAGGAAACCACAGCTGCACTCACACACACATACACACACACACACAGCTGCTGCAGATATATCCTTTAACCCTGAATGCCCGCGGATCGAGACGATGCAGCTGTGGCGCACCACGCCCCTCTTGTACTGTGTGTGTCTGCACGCGTGGGTTCCTGTTTTGTTTTTTGTCGGAGTTTCTGACTTTGACAATACAATTGTTTGCTCTGGTCTTGCCGAGCACTGTGGTCATCTAATTTTGGCCTTTGCTGAGACAATAGAGCATTGTCTGAGTTAAGGGGGGGTGCGGAAGAGGCTTGTGGGAGAGTGAGGGCTTTTCTCTCACTCTCTCTGTCTTCACTTTGTGTGAGAGAATAGAGAATAGATTGATCTTATTTTATCCTAACCCTTGTTCCAGTTGTTCCCTAAGAATTGCAGATTTTCTTCTTTGTGGTGTATTCCAGCAGCTATATATATTCATTCATAGTTCTGCAAACCTCCTGCTTGAAGCTTTTGTGTTTTATTTTCTAACAAGTCATCACAAAAGAAAACCAGATTCTTACCTGTAGAGAGCATAAGTGTAATTCGTCCTAGTAAAACAATGAAAGAAAAATGAACCAAATTTCAGATTGTAAAAAGACAATGGGTCAAAGGTTCAGTTTTTTCATATTACTCCTAGAAAAGATTTAAAAATGACCCATGTCGATTTTCCAGCATCCCCCCACTTAAAGTGTCCTTGAACTTCCTCTTTTGTATTTTGGGTGTCATGACAGTGTAGAGTTGAGGATTTTAGTGCCAAAAAAAATGAGAATGATTTAAAGTTTCCACAATATATTATCTTGGCTGAGTAGGAAAAGCCACATAAGGAGCATGTGGGCCACCGTGGCACAATAAAACTTTCCACTGAAACCTAAACTGACATGAAGCCATTTTAGAGTTTGCTGCTTTTTTTAAACTCAGCCTGATCTACTCCACCTGTTCAATGACAAGAACAGTACTTTGTCACAACAATAGTGGCTCATATTCAGCATTTAATTAAAAGTCAATATCAGGAGAAAAGCTGTTTGTTGAGGGTTCAGACTAATGTCAAACACCGGCATCTCAAGCTTCCTTGATTAGACAGTAAACAATTAAATGAACAAACTCAGAGCTTTTTGGTAGCCACGTCCTGTTCCTCTGTCCTTTCTAGTGAAACTATAGCTTTTCTTCTTTACTTTGGCTCCATTTCCTTTTGGGAAGGAAGCTTCCTGCACTCTCCTCCTCACCTTCTTTTCTCTCTGACTCGCTTCCCCCCTCCTCCTCTCTTTGTCGGCTCTGAGCGGGCAGGATGTGTGAGAGTGTGTCAGAGCATTTGGAACAATGTCAAGGTCAACAAAAGACACAAGCACGGACTCACACAGGATGTCAGAGTTCAACATGAAAACAGTTAATTTTTAAAGAAAGCACAAAATGTCCATGCTGAAAGTAGGATTTAATCTATGGTGGTGCGGTGACGAGAGACAGAAAACTCACAATGCACAGAGAGGCAGCCCGAGGCCAACAAAATGAATGGAGCGATGTGGAGGGATGTTAAATATCTCTGCCCTGTCAGCTGTTGCAACAGGCGGCAGACTGAGTTCCAAACTGACTTCATGCCCCTCGTGAACTGCCAGTTTTGGTTGCACTTGCCTGTATGGCCTTGCCCGCTCATGTTAAGGTGATATTTGATGCGCTCGGTGTAACAGTGTAAGCGTTTTAACAATGTTAAGAGTCTGCAAACCCAAATAATATGATCTGTATTTTGTTGTGGTTTCCAGTGGTGATGGAGCGACTTGTGAGTGAGCTGGGCTCTCTGCTGAAGATGCTGGACCGTGAGACCGTCAGTCCTGCCACTGCTGACAAAATGGCGTCTGTACGTAACATCTTGGATTCACTGCCGCTGTCAGGTACAGAATACAAAAGCAGCACAGACAACATTCCCGTTTTTGTTTACGTACTGGTCATCCCAACATCACTACCACTGATAGGTGACGTGAATAACACTGATTGATTGGGGTGGGATGTATTAGATGTTGAACGAGCAGGAAATGGGCAGCATAGGGATCTGAGTAGTTTTGACAAGGGACAACTTGTGATGGCTAGATGACTGGGTCAGAGCATCTGCAAAACGGCAGATGTTGTGGTATATTCTAGGTATGCAGTCATTACCACCAAAAATGGTCCAAGAAAGGACAATTGATGGCAACAGGGTCATGGGCGACCCAAGGCTCACTGATGCTAATGAGGAGCGAAGGCTGGCCAGACACTACATAAGGGCTACTGTAGCACAAATGGCTGAAACTCTTAGTGCTGCCTGTGATTGAAAGGTATCAGAACTCATAGTTGCTGCAGACCGGTCAGCGTGCCCATTCTGAGCCCTTTCCATCGCTGAAAGCACCTAAAGTGGGCATGTGAGCATCAGAAATGAATCACAGAGCAAAAGAAGAAAGTGATGTGGTCTTACAACAGGGTGCATGTGCATTGATTACCTGAGGAAGAGATGGTACAGGGATGTAATATGGGAAGAAGGCAAGAAGCAGTGTGATGCTCTGGGAAATGTTCTGCTGAGAAACCTTGGGTATTTATGTGGTTGTTACTTTGACACACATCATCTATCTAAATATATTATACATCTTTCATAACATTGATGGCAGTGGCTTCCTTCAGCAGCAATGCTCCCCGCCACTCTGCAAAAACTGTTCAGGAAGGGGTCAAGATATGTGAGGTTAAAGTCTTGACTTGGCCTCCAGTTTCCCCTGATCTCAATTCAGATCAAACAACTGTGGGATGTGGTAGAAAACCAAGTTAGATCCATGGAAGACACACCTCAAAATTTCCAGGTCCTTAGGGGATCTGTTGCAAACATCTTGGTGCCTGATACCACTAAACACATTTAGAGGTCTTGTGAAGTTTATGCCTTGATGGGTCAGAGCTGTAGTTTTTAGAAAGCATGCAGTTCAGCCAAAGAAATTCAGAGTTGAGTCATTTATCTGTCACTGCAATGGTATTTATGAAGAAAGAAGGATATATCACTTCTCTCTTACTTGTCTTTTTACCGTGAGACACCCTTATTGCCATTAGCCAACCAGCCTGCAGCTGCCAGGGCAACACTATATGAGATACAGTGCAGTAATTGTTGTTGGAAACAGACGAGAAGATGCAGCCTCAGTGCACTGATATGAAATCTCCCTGAGGACTTTACAGCAGATCCTTGCTTATCTAGAGGAACACAGGATGTCTGAGTGGGATAAAAGGATTGATGTAAGAGGATAATGAAATGTAAAGTTTAAAGAGGATAATGAGACACGGTCAAAGAAAGGAGACTGTTAGAACTAATCCAGACTTCCCTATCTGTACTCATTCTTCAAGTTTTTACATGGTTGGTTTGCATATTCCACATAATTTAATCTTTTTTATGATTTCACAGTTTCAGAATATGTGGTAGGTTTGAAATTTATAGTACAAAGCCTTCCAAGCTAAAGCACACCCCTGTCATCTGACATCAGTCTCCACATTGTTTGTTTGTGTAAAGTGCAGATAATTCAGGATTGGTACTCACTGATACTCAGCTACTATCTGTTTGCTCTATCTCCTTACACTAATCCAGATCTTAGTGTTGTGACACAATCCTAACTCTAATCCTTAATTTGTCTCGTCCACAGTCAATGGATCAGATGTCTACATGAACAGCTGTCTCTATGGCAATGGCACTAGCTTTGTGGAGTCACTGTTTGAGGACTTTGGTTAGTAGATACTTGCAACTGTCATACCACAACATGACATGCTTAACACGATAAAATATGTTGTAACTATATACGGTATCACTGCTGATGACATTAGTCCTGTGTTGTTCCACCAGACTGTGATTTGCACATGCTCAGTGCATCTCCAGTGGAGCAGAAAGAGCACAAAGATGGAGAGGAGAAGACTCATCCTAATAAATCTGTAAGTCATTTGCAGGTTACCCACCAGTAGATGTTCCTGTATTGTACTTGTACCTTCATCTCTGGTTTAATCTTGGTTCTTCAGACGCCGACCGACACACCCCCTCCTGTGCCAACCACCCCTCTTCCAGATGACTACTATGAAGAGGCCGTTCCTCTAGATCCTGGATCCACCCCGCAGTACTTTACCACCAGTATGAACAGTCGGCTCTATACACACACACACACGCTCAAAGATTTGCACACTCACAAATAAATGTAACCAAACTGTTTTTCTTTTTTCTGCTCTCCCATAGATTCCAGGAACTCTGTAGAGGATGCCTACTATGAAGATGCAGACAATAACTACCCCACCACCAGGATGAATGGACCTCCCAAAAACTCCTGTTAGTCTGCCTTGTCTTCATCACTTTACAACTTACTATAGAGGCATGTTCTGTTTGTGAATCAGAATTTCTCCATAAATGTTTTGTAAATTAATCATCTGTGTTGTTTTTGTTGCTCAGACAATGACTCAGATGCTTTGAGCAGTTCCTATGAGTCTTACGAAGAAGAGGATGAGGAGGCCAAGGGGAGGGACCGACCTCAGAGGTGGACGGCTGAGGAGAGCCCAGACGGACCAGTTAGAGACTGTCGCATCTGTGCCTTTCTGCTGCGAAAGAAACGCTTTGGCCAGTGGGCTAAACAGCTAGTCGTTGTCAGAGACAATAAGCTGCAGGTAAATAGAAGCAGCTGTTAATTGGAGGTTATTTAAACTTTTATATCAGAGGATCTAGTTTTGTTTTCGTGTCTTTCAGGAGCAGCAAAGTCAGATTTTTGCATTAACATTAAAGATACCTTTGCTACAAATGTTCTCCCAAAGGGGTGCTGCTAGTTCATTTGGTTCCAGGTGGGTTCTGGTTTGGTAGACTTAAAACGACATTGCCAGCAATTTATCAAAGGTTACATTTTAGTATCAGAGTAAAATAGTGTCAAACAGCATCAAATAATATATTAAAGTACTTTTTGGTGATTTGGGATTATGTAATTTGTCCTTTACAGACATAAAGCATGTAGCCTACTTTACTTCTCTCTTTATTTCTGAATTTCGCTGTCTCTTTTTCTATAGTGCTATAAGAGCATCAAAGAGAGCTCTCCTCACACGGAGCTCCCACTGAATCTTTGCAACGTCATCTATGTCCCGAAGGAAGGCCGCAAAAAGAGGCACGAGCTGCGATTCTCATTGCCTGGAGGCGAAGCTCTCGTGCTGGCAGTTCAGAGCAAAGAACAGGCCCAGCGGTGGCTCAAGGTACCTTTATTCACTATATCAGAGGATTGGGGCTGAGTTGAGGAAGACACAGGGGATGGGTGGACACAAGATTATCTCTGGAAGTGAAGGGTTTTCTCTTTCTGGGTCAAGGTGGTCCATGATGTTGGCAGTCAGTGCAGCAAAACAGAAGGACTGGACGGATCGGCTTCTCCCATTATACAGAGGAAGTTGGAGCTCGACAAGGTGTGTGAATGAGTGTGTGGGTCTCCACACACTTCTGTCTTTGAATGTCACACTGTTTATCTCCAGTGTTTGTTTGTGGTTTTGCTTGTGTATGTTGTAAGAATTAAACAAGTCAAGCATTTCTTAAATCTGCTATCCAAACAAGGATTCATTGTGCCGATTAAGCAGTTTCCTCTCAGGATGTCTGAGTTTACTTTACTGACTCCGTCTGATGCCGCTTGATTCATTCTGAATCCATACCCTAGTTTTTTACATTTCTGTGTTGCTTGACATCACCTCTTTCAGCCCACGCATGACACAACTGTTCCTTTGGCTTCTGGTTTACAAGCAGCAAGTGAGGTGACATTATTGCGGTTGCTGAGCTGGGTCGTTTTCAAAGAATTTCATGTCCTGAGCAAACTGAATGAACAGTGACATGGCAGTTACACCCCATATTGGCACAACAGTTTTAAAAATACAGTCAATAAAACAGACTCCCCAGAGGTGCATGTCATTTTCGTTGACATGATTTTGCTCGGTTGAAAAGTTGTGTATACAAGACAGACAAATGTGCCGTTTTTTTTTGTCTTTTCCCATTTAGAAAAAAAAAGGAAGTAATTAAAATTTGTGCTTTTTGTTTTTTTATTCTCCAGATGCTGCAGTCGGACAGACAGGCGTCGGACTCAGACAGCGGACCAACGGCAGACAGTCAGTCCACTACACATGGAACAGGACGGGATACCATTGACTCACTCAGTAGGTGTAAACTAATAGAAAGTTATTGATTAAGTTGTAATAATTGAGTCTTTGTTATTGTTGCTCTATTGAAAAAAGCTCACAACTGTTTCGTATGAGTTATTATAGCATAAGACATAGAGTATACATTCTACAAGCAAAATCAGTGATCATAGCAAGATGTAACTTTAGCCTGTGTGTAACTTCCCAGTTAGCACAGTGACATTAGAGCAGTGCTTCATGATTCACAGAGGTAGTAATAATAAGGGTCTTTATGTTGTCTGTGTATTTCAGAATGAAACTGAGTTTGAGGGTGGGGTTTTGAGAGGTATTTAGGATTTTTATTTTTTTTTGCAAATCCACTATGATGTGGAGCTGTGGGGAAATGCAAAGCTGTAGGACTGTTCACCTCCTCCTACGCATCCCTAAGGACTAAATGAATAAATTAGTCTTCAACCACATTCACTGTATATACAAATATCTGGAACCATAACACACATGTTGTACTAGGATAGAACTCTGTTCACTGGCTGCAAGCGACAGACAGGGTTGGCTCACCCCAAAGCATGTTTGATTGGATGTGCTACAATGTAATCTAAAAATAGTGAGTACTTTTTACAGGAATTGAAAAAACAGGGATGCTAATGTAAAAAAATATTAAATTGACATGTACTGTATAACACATATAACAAGAGATAAATGAACAAATAACATGAGGACATAGGAGTAAAAATTCACTTCAGTGCATCTTTATTCCTAACAAATATTTTTACTTACTTTTGAAAGTTTAATAGAAATATTAATGCAGACTAATGCGACAGCGCAGTCGTAAACCCTTGTCTGACTCACCAGATGTTGGCTGCGGGTATAAACCTGTCACTGGATGCTCATTTAAGTCAACTTTCTCCCCGCCCTCCACTACCTGCGTGTTACAGTTTTCAAAACCCATTTCACTTCTGGAAACAACAACAACAACCTCCAAGCTAGCAACCTAATTTGCTGAAAATATCAAGTTTTGCTGATTATTTGGATCATGCAATAAAGTACTATTTGTTTGTTCGCATAAATTTTAATGACAGTGCTCATCTCCCTACATGCAAATGTTTCACCAAAAATTATTTCAAAGCTTTGCTTAGCACCACTTAAAACAATTCTGATTGGTTTCAAGAAATACAAACAACTCACTCTGCTCCCCCCAATAGGAGAATGATAATGTGGTGCAGCCAGACCAATATATACCACAGAGGGAGTTTAACTAAGTCAATCCTGACCTTATGAAGGTCATAATGCACATTTATTGTGCATTGCTAGAGCAATATTGAAGATATTGCTTTATACCGAGCGGTGTTTTATGTTGTTTGATTTTTTTCAGTCCATTTATGAAATACGTATTGGTATAATAAATAAAAACCTACAATTTTAGCAACCAATTATTATTGTAAAAAAAA